TGGCGTCACGTTGCTGCAGCTATATATGATCGATTGGAAGTGTCTTCCTACATGCAGAGCCCATCATGGCGGCAGAAACAGTTCCGACCGGTGGATTATGTGGGAGCATGTCCACGTGAAATATACGCGGCAAGGTGAAGCCCACATGGCTGAGATGTGGGCGACACGTGGGACGCAGCCGACCCCGGCTCGCCTCCTCCGCGGACAGATCAAAGTAAATGTGGGAAGAATGTCAACGAGCTAAGCCGAAAACTTTGATGATAGTTTTCTTGGAACAATTGATTCCCTCTGCCGTAAGTATCGAGAAGGTGGATTACTCATCATGGACACATGCTTGCGATCCGTAAGATCGATGGTCTTCGATCAGGATCCTGATTATGGTATTGTTATGCAGAATAAAAATTAAAATTAAATAACAATATATCAAATATAAGATACCTATCTTTCGATGCTAAGTCTTTATCTTATCTACATACTCATCATTATATGTCTATTGTAAGAAAAACTGGACTCGTCTAATCTCTTTCTCTTTTTTTATCCTTTCACAAGATCTCTATGAATAATTAATTAGGGATAAAGAAAAGATGAAAAAATATCTATAATTTTCAATGAGAAATTATTTTTTCATTATAGGGTCTTCCTTTATATAGATAAGTAATTAGAAGAGTCATTCCATCAAAATTATCTTTAACAAATCATATCATAATTGGATATTTTTTATAAATAATTATAATCAAAATTCAATCGTATCTATAATATATCTTACATAATTAGATAGAACCACATAAACTAACATTCTTCTACTTAGCTCATTAATTAATAATATATAAAAAAATTAAAATAAATAAAATAAAATAAAAATTATTTAAAAATAATCTATCTTAATTAGATTATGAGATTTAAAAAAAATTTATATGTGCATACAAATTTTATAAAATAGGCTAATAAGTTTAATAAATATAATAATATCATATTAAGTCTGATTATCAATACGAGTCATAACGATTATATGTCATCAATGTCATACTTCATTCTATATACCACAACACTATTAGCCTTCGCTGATGCAGTCCAAAATGACCCACATGATTTATCTTGTGAAGACAATCCTATTATACACATCCAACCATAATATGTACATACATAAATGTTAACAGAATAATAAAACTAAATAACCATAATTATGTAAATAAAAATATCAATTATAATATATACTTAAACATGCATCATCGTATTTTTTATGGATTGTTCATAAACCCAATCATAAAAATATGTTCTTTCAAATATTTTAGGTTGTAATGCATTAGTAAATTAATCAACAATCAATACAGTGGAACTCAATTTCTTAATTGATATTAATTATTTCCACTCATTTATCGAACCAATCAAGTACTTTAGAATTTTTTTAATTTTTGAGAGGAAAAAAAATCCTTTTAAAAACCCCTAATTCTCATGGTGTTGTCGCTGCCACTGCATTCTACTACGCCCACGCGCGCATCTCTTATTAGTTGTGCATCGATCGTCTATCGTATACGCGTCGCTCGTGGTGCTGCGACTGTTCTCAAGCGGTTGACCGGTAAAGTCACCGTTGTCACATCGTGCTCATGTGCAATTATGCATCACTGCACTGTGCAATGCCAACGTGTGGTGGTTATGTGCCGATTAGCGACCACACTCTCATCGTAACGCCCGGTGATGTTTATGAGTCTATCACGCAACTGTTGGGTACTTGGCTTTTGGCATCTAGTCGACGCTAGCCATGACCAGTAAATGTCGTAATAACGTTGCTGTAACCATCGTAGGCAATGATGGTTGCGACATTCGTCACAGTCATGGCACTACTGTAGTAACATTGCCACCGCCGCTAATACCAATTGTAAGCATAAAAACTGTGATTATACTACTGTTATGCTAAAAACTAAAATCAAATAACAGTAAATCAAATATACGATATGTACCTTTCCATACTATTCAAAAAATATTTATCTGATATGTAGATGCACCGTCGTCAGATCTGAAAACTAAACTCATTTTCTCTTCTCTGTCTATACTTCATAGGACTCCTACGAACATTGTATTTGCAACAAACGAGAGATAATGGAATATTTATAATCTCTTAATGATATATTGTTTTGTCCCTAAGAGATTCTATCATTTTATAGGTGAGAGCATAGGGTTTATGATAAGTAATTAGGAAAGTTCCTCTGTCAAAATCATCTCTAAAGGAATCTTATTATAATTAAATTTTATTTTTTATTAATTAATAATTATAATCAAAATTTAATCATATCTATAATATATCTTACTTAATTAGATAGAATCACATAATCTAATAAAAATTACTACTCTTAGGTTAGATTACACGTGCTACATGAAGCCCATCATAAATGGGTAGAATGATAAATAGGTAGAATGATCGATTGATCCACCGCCAATCACGGCTTCAAATTTTAAATCGGTAGGAAATGTGAATCTGACAGCTTAGAAAATGGATAAAAGAATAAAAAAAGAAAGAAGATGACATCAAACTTTTACGCAAGGCAAAGAAATACTTGAAAATGTACCAAAGCACATGCATTTTGAGACTTTAGGATTCTTTCTTCATCTCTCCTCTCTCCTATACGCCAAGCATTGCTTTCAATCCTTTTCGAATGGAAGATGCAGAAGCATGTGGTTAATAGAGCAATCAAGAAACCCAGTCTTTGTTCGACGAATCCAAAATTATTGAGTAACTCCCTCTTCTCTTTCTCTTTCTCTCTCCTCCCCTTCACTTTGTACTGTTGTGATCTTCCACTTATCTCTATACATTTCTACAAAAGTTGCACTGGCGAGACCACTAATCATAAACATCGCTCCTAATCATCCCTCCAAATGTGGAATCAGTAATCACCAGCGAACATCACCAACCGACAGCCATGAACGTAATGCCACACGCAGCCAGAACCACAGGGTGCATGTCACGTAAAGTTCGGTATTGATACACTATACGACTTGACTAACCCAAGGGCTCGGAGCGGTCTGCTTTTGGGATAGTGCCGTCTGACACCACTCGAGCTCCCCCGAAGATGCCACTTTGTCAGAAGTTGTCCCGCCCCCACAAAGTCAGCGACCACACCGAACCAAGGGGAACCAACTCTCATACGCTGGTATAAATACCCTTGTCCGATCCCAAGGAAGGGAGAGGAAAAAGAGAGAAAAAAAAAAAGGGAAATCCCAACTAAACTGACTTGCTCGTCAGAGGGGCCAAAGTCGGGAGATACCCGACGAAGACCGTTTTGCAAGAAGGTGATCGCCACGGAGCAGCGGGCGTTTGCACCCTGAAGTCGTCATCTAGTGCGCAGAGGAGGGTGGACCAGCAGATCGGGTCCCAATCAACGCCAGCCTGCACCTCCCATCTCAAGGGTGCGCCCACGAAGAAAGATTGCCAACTATCCCAAGGACAAAAGGGCACATCTCGTCATAAACAACACTTCAGTCGGTTGGCCTTGGAGTGCTAACCCCTAGCCGCCCGTTAGGACTCAACCGGCCCTTCCGGCTCAACCCTCGCTTGAAGCGCTCGAGAAGCATAGCCACCTCATCATCCTACTCATTCCACCAGAAGTTCCCGACATCGGTCTACGGACCAAACCATGCTGACTCATCAGCCACGATATTTTTTGTTCACTAACAATAATAATAATATATCTATCTAATAATTCTATAAACAATTCTAACCTTATCCATTGCTATATATTTCTAATATTTAATTGTATATCAAAAAAAATTAAGAGCAAATTTAATTTATATATTATTATTAATTTTAACCTAAACATTTTGACCAATGATTTGAATTAAACGAAATTACAAACCCATTAGAATGAATCACGATTAGATCGTAACACTTAAACCCAATTTAAATCGATCAAATATTACATCATCAGTTAGCTATGTATCTGTTTCTATTTGAGCCAAAATCTAATTTAAATATCTATCATTTTTTTCTATCAAATTCATCTAAATTCGACTCAAATAGGTTGTTGGATAGACTCGAATCTCCTAACGAATCCAAAATATATTCGCGCTCTCTCCGGCCATTAATGAGGGCCAAGCCTTATCTTGTCTTGTAAGAAACAAGCTACTAGTGTAACCCTATCATCATCGTCATCATCATCTCACTTTTTGTGACTCTTTTGATGCTGCCTTTTGGTACTACAAAATGTCAATGTCGATATGGTCTACTTTATGAACACTATCATTACCGAGTTCTGAGAGCAATTCAAAGGAATTGTTGCCGCCAATTCTTCATGGTGTTGCACGAGCACAAGCATGAACAGTAGTGACGAGGGTTTTGGTTGTTGGGAGATGGCACTGCAGCCACGAGACATGATCGCATTCACATCCCACCCACTGGTTTGTCGATGGTGAACGAAGACATGGGTGCTGCTCCATAATGGAGGGTGAGGTCAAGGACATGGAGAGGTTGTGGGGGTACCCAATGGTCGCAAGTTGCACCCTTGCCGACAACCAACCCTAGAAGAGAAATGACAGCTGACTTTGGAGCCAAATCTAGTGTTTCTTCCACCGGCGGAAGGAAGGGGCAACCCTTCCCCTTCCAACCTGGCTTCCATTCCATGTCTTTGGCTTCATCTTGCTTGCTGCTCTCTCTCTCTCTCGTGATCTGAGAACAGTCCTCTGCCTCTGCAAGCACCTGCTGATCTCAAAGCACACAAGGTAGGAGAAGACGAGGATTGGCAACATATTACCAAAGCATGTTGTGTGAACCAAATAGTCAAAGTGTGTTGCAGATGAGAAAGCATTCAGCATGTATCAGCACAGCAGAAGCAAAACAATATCTGAGAACACCTTGTGAAGAGGCCCTCTGCCTCTGCAAGCACCTGTTGCTAAGCACACGCGGTCGGTAGGAGAAGACAAGGATCAACAACATAACATCAAGGCGTGTGCCAAAACCGAACGCAACAAAGAGGTATTGATGAAGAGAGTAAAGAAGTTGGCACATACCGAAACGAGAAAGAATTCTTTTATTTCACAGATATGGCAGCAGCATGTATCAGCATGGCAGAAGCACAACAACATCAATGACATCCCGTCTTTTCCCTCCCTTTTATCGACTACCACCTCTGTGGCTTCCGATGCTTTTCTCTATATGACTTATATACATGAAATAAATCTTAACCGGCCTCCACAGACACCAATTGATACTACAAACATGCGTCTAGAGAAGACGAGATTGATTTCTCGGTAGATAAGAACATCCTAGCCTAACCAGAAAAGGAAATGATAATGGAAATGATGATCCTGGAACTCCGCAAATGGAGGGATCAAACAAAGCAAAAGTAAAAGGGGAATGATGCTTCAGCTCAATTGCTGGATCAAATGGGAGCTGAATTTTGAATCATCGAAGAAAGGTGGGGGCTCGCCCTAGGACACATCAAAAGAATCACTTTATTCATCTTAAAGACCGTAGTGCCTCACCGAGTACTCTAACACCTGCTGGCTCGGACAGATCATCTCCTTCACTCTTGTCCCGTTCTTGTAGATCTTAAACGTCGGGACTATCTTCACATTCTCTGCCTTTGCAACATCAGGGCTCCGGTTGATATCCACCTTTCGGTACAAGCACAAAACAAAAGTTAATGCTTAGAAATAGAAATGAAATCAAGCGACAAAAAAGCATGGATGATACAAAGATGGGCAAACTGTGATGCAGGGCTAACAATATTACCCTGAGAAAATTTGCAGATGGGTACCGATTACAGAGTGCATCAACAGATGGGGTTATCTCAGTGCATTGTGGGTTCGAAGCAACCATGAAGTAGACAACAGAAGCTCCTGAAATGGAACAAATTTACTCTCTCATTGGTTGTATGAAATGACTGAAAGATAGAAACGTCAGCTGCATGAAACTAAGAAAAATGTCCCATCATCATTTAACTTTGTTAAAACAAAAAGAAAAAGGAAAATAAAGCCAGCATTGTCTTCCTAGACAGTAAGTGCATCATACTGCTAGTAACAGTGAAATGAAGAGTCATGTCCTACCGGTGATCTGAAGATCACAAGTGTACCACCACTAAACTCTAGAACCGGCTTGGAGAAGAGTAATGATGAAGTTTTAGAATGAAGTCAATAACAGAGTGTGAATACTTAATCACTCGAAGATGCTAACTGACCGGGAAAAGATATTGCTGCTCGGAATTGTTCTACACCAGTGACCTCCTCAACCTCTCCACCAAACTTCAGATTGGAGACATCTTCACCGCGACATGTTTTCAATGCAACCTGAGCATGGAATAAGGCTTCGGCCACCTCAGTGTCCCGCGGAAGCTCCTTCCTCAGGACTTCATAATCTCGGACACATTCAGCCCAGCACTCAAGCTGATTACAATGTGACAAAAAAGGGTTAAAACAAAATAATTCTTGATCTCTCGGTGTCAGAGAAAATGAATCACGTGATACAACCTTGGCATAGGAATCAGCTCGTCTGAGAAGAGCCTTTGTGTAATTGGGTCGGATTCTAAGAGCTTCACTGCAGTCATCAACAGATTTCTGCCACTGCCCGAGCTTAGAACGGCAAGCTGCTCTGTTGCATAGAAGGACCGAATTTGATGTATTGTACCTGAGTCCTTCCCCATAAGCTGCACAGGCCTCTGCGAAATTCCCCAACTTAAAGAGCTCATTTCCTTGAGCTCGAGCCCTTGCCACTGACCTCACATTGCTCATGACCATTGTCACTTCTACATTCCTAGCATCCACCTTCCTGGCCTTTTCAGCTGCCGTGACTGCATTATCGAACCTGTAAGAGTTCCATTCCATGTCTCATCACCCAAGAATTGTTTCTATGCTATTCTGCAGAACTCCAAAGGTATCAGCTTACCTCCCCATTGCCATATCAACTTGCGCTCTAACAATGTAGAAATAGGAAGAGGAAAGCATACCAAAGATCTTGGTAGCTGAGGAGAAAGGGAGTGAGTCCTTGAATTCAGATGATCTTGAAAGAACTGAATCAGCCTCATCAGGATGTTGGAGGTGCAGAAGAGCTTCCGCCCTCGATGCAATTAGCTGCGAGACGCCAAACTGGAAGTTAATTACATATTTAAATTTCACCAAGAAAACCAAAATTGAATCTTCAGGATTTACCGGCGGAGAAGAGTCTGCTCCTGCAGCAATTGCTGCATCAGCTTCTCTTAATGCACTCTTCCAGTCTCCTATCTTCCGGGCATCTCCGCATTTTACCAAATGTCTCTCCACCGCTTGAGTCTTCTGCAACTCAACAGGGTCAGGCGGCTGCCCAGTTAAAAGGAGATGCTTCCTCGCATCCTCAACTAGCCCTAACCTGTGAAAAGAAATGGATTAGACAATGCAATGCATTGAAGCAAAAAAAGTATGATAATTGCATTGACTGCAATAGATTCTCCAGCAGAAAATCACAAAGCAACATAAAAAATAATCCAGTCTGTGTTGGCCAAAATATTGGATTTACCCAATTAGAAGAGGAGCAAATATTTCCACCTATAACAAATGCCACCAGAATCTGTGCTCAGAGTTCATTCAAATTGAAGCTTTTCAATCAAACTCATGATTTCTACATAAGCATGGAACCTCCAAGAAAACACATGATCCAACAAAAACTAAATACACATCAAACAGGCTAGATCAATCGAGCATAAGGATCAAAGCTTTTGACAAAAGAACAACTAAAAACATGAACATGATTCCAGTATTATATGGCGAGCAAACAAAGAACACAAAAACAGATCAGCCATCAAGGTGGAAGCTTTGGAGCAAATGACAACCAAAAGAACAAAGAAATGATCAAAACCAGTGAAGAGAATGCATCCCTTGCACTGCACATGTATTGTGGGAGACGAACCAGCACCTACACGTCCTCCGGTATGAACTAAGAACAAGCGAGTGAACCAGAACAGATCTTTGGTAATATTGGTCTCACCTTAGATTTAGACATGCCAGCCGATGGTGCGCCCGCCCGTTCGCGGGATCCAACCGGACGGCCTCCTCGCACTCTCTCACCGCCTCCTTCAACCTGCCGAGCCCCATCAGTGCCGCCGCACGATTACTCCGGCATGGAGCATTCTCCGGGCACATGGCCACCGCCCGATCGTAGAACGCCAGCGCCTCCCCGTATTGTCCCCTCTTGTAGTGCTCGTTCCCTGCCCTCGTCACTTCCTGCGGATCCATTCTCCCGGTCGCCCTCCTTGTGGTCGAATCCACCGAATTCCCCATGCCGGCACCACCACTGGGTCTGGCCGCTCCGCCACCGCTCATACCACCCCGCATTATACTGCCATGGCCGTAGTTCCCGGTGCCCGACCCGAGCACATCGCTCCTCGGAGTCGTCCTGGGCATCATCCCGGTCTTTCCGATCTTTCCCGAGGGGTAGATGTTCCCGGTAGGTAGCACATTGGTGTTGGGAGAGCTCGCGGTGCAGATACTACCGCCGCATCCGCCTCCGACGGAGAAGATTAGTGGCCCGGAGCCAGATTGGTGTTGGCTGATCTCGCCGGAGAGCTCCCCGTAGTGGCTCCGCCGCTCCGGGTCGGGAGCAGCGGGCCTCCGGGCGGCGGGGCCGGAAGGGGAGTGGGGCAGCGGGGCGACCTTGCCGGAGGCGGAGCCGGAGGAGCTGGAGCTGCTGCTGCTGTTAGCGGGGCAGGGGCGAAGGGGGGAAACAGGGGATCCGAGGTCAGGGAAGTCGGGCTTGTTCTCATCCATGCGGAGGGCCGCTTGAAACCGGTCGGCGACCGGCTCGACCTGCCCGGGCGCAGCCAAGCCCGAGCCTGCCTTCTGGTCCGGTCGGCTCGTCTCGCCGGCACGTGACATCAAAAGCCTCGCGACCACCACTTCGGATCTCCTCTTTCACCACCCACCCTCTGTCTCTCTTACGGATTAATGCCGTTAGCTTTGACAACCGTAATGGCCACAGCCGACGGACAGAAGGCTACAACAACACAACACAACCCAAAAGGCCTCAAAGACGTACTCCTTAAAAGAAGAAGGGGTGTGTGTGTGCGTGAGTGAGTGAGAAAGAGAGAGAAGAGCTGAAAGATCTCGTGATTTGGTAACACGGAGAAAAGAGAGGAATGGATATGCCCATCTCGGTAGATTTGGAGACGGGAGCGAAAAAGAAAGGAAGCAGTGAGAGAGAGAGAGAAACAAATAGAAAATGGGGAGAGGAAACTTTTCTGTCGTTTCCACGCTCTCTATTGTTTGCCCCTTCTCCTCGGTCCTCACGGTGACGCAATCCCTCGCTCGTCTCTCTCTCTCTCTCTCTCTCTCTCTCTCCCCTTCTCCCTCGGACTGATGTTTCTCGCCCTACATCACGCTAATGCCGATTGACTTCTTGTAGGAGATTGAGATTACGTGTTGATTCGTCCCCCTCTTCCGTGGTTCGCAGGTCGCGAGGCGGCGCATTGTGGATCCTGGCCGGGGGATTCCCGGAATCTTTGACGGAGAAGGGAGGGGGGGGGTTGGATTTGGGCGAGCGAGGGGAAGGAGAGGAAGGGCGTTTTGGGTAATTCGGTCAGGCGGACCCCCCCGGACAATGGGCAGGTGGCCACGTGCGGTGCTTCGATCGCCAGCTGGGCCATTCGCGGAACCCCAAGCGCCGCGTCGCCCTCCACCAAAGCACTTGACGGCGTTAGGGCCGCCGTAGGCGGTGATCCGACGGAGGAGATCTGGTGAACCCCCAGTGTGGAGTCGCGATTGGGTCTTCGATGCGTGCACCGGCTTGAGACCTCCTCACCTTCCTATTTATGATCAAAATTGGAAGACAAGAACAGATAGGATCAAATTGATTTTGCATACAATGGAACAAAAGATCACACAGGAATAGCTTAATACTATTCCAAGCTAATTGGTTGTAATAGTGAAAGAAAACCACCCAAGAGAGTTTATTTTAGAGACAGTAGGAATACAATAATATATAATATATAATCTAATGCATATAAAATGTACTCACACTATATAAGATGTGTTCATATTAATAGCATATCTTAATTACATGATAATTAGCAACACAATATCATCTTGATGGATTAATTAAGAGATCCTTCATTTATTTTATTTTTTTCAAATGTATTATCATTTTCAACACTCTCTCTTAAATTAAAGTATAAATGTTGAAGAGCAGAATGAAAATGATAATGACATTTAATCCTTAGTTAAAGAGTAGAGGACCCAAAGATTGATAAACCCTTCGAATCACTGTATCTTTTGAGGTTTTTGAGGCCTGAAAATATAAAATTGTGCAGTCATACCTAAGAAGATAATTTCTTATGAGCCTAGCATAACGTTCAAATGTTGATTTACTAAAATGATGCTAGAAGGAGAGTTATGAGTCCTTGATCTCCTAAGTCATCCCTATCTTTAGAGATGATTTTTGGGACTCACGAGTTTTAAAAGGGTAAAATTAAACTAGCATACTCAAAATGAATAATTCCTTGTGAGCTTACTAGATCATACCAATGACAATCAATTATTGATTTATTAGTAAAAGTATCTATTTATGTGATTTACGAGTAAATATATACTTATATATTCTCAAAAAAATATTAGAAAAGTAAACAAAAGAAAAAAAATAAAGACAATTTTCATGAAAAAAAACTTCAAATTTTTTTAGGATATCATAATAAATTAATTCAAATAGTTCAATTGATAATAATAAATTTTTATTGACACTACAATATATATATATATATATATATATATATATATATATATATATATATATGTATGTATGTATGTATGCATGTATAAATACATGTAAAATACTTGATAATATGTTGTCTAATGCATAATATTGCATATTAAGATGCTATAAAAGATATGCTCCTAGCTAGAAATTCTCAATAAATTAATATTTGGTAGGGGAATATTGTCTTGATCTTAAGGCAAGGATTAGGTACATGTACTAAGAGAAGGATAATTAATTAGCTCCCAGTGGAAGAATCAATAGAGAATTTGTTCTGTTTTCTCAACCTTAAACCAATTCACTATTCTTTTATCTATCCTTAATGGTCATTTATTTCACCATACTCCTAATTTGTTCCATGACAAGGCTTATCGGTGCACAAGCAATCATTAAAGAGATATTAAATATAAATAAATTGAATAATCAAATACCAAGCAATCAATCATCATAAAGAAGAGAGAAAATATTTTGTAGAATCTATTTGTTTTATAGGTAAATATTTTCTAATATTAGTGCATTAGAAATGACGATAGGAAATCAAACAAGTCTAATTATGTGCCTAATTAAGCACTTGCAATACATATTTCTGAGGTAAAGTCGAGTCAACCAACCTGCTTGCATAAATTCTACCAGTCTTTCTTGGGCTTCATACTATATCTTCTACGGCAGATCGATGCTTCCCTCATCGGTGACTCGATCGAGACAAACCTCTGCTCTTTGAATATAACAGTCTCGAGTACTACAGGCATTAATGTGCGTGCATTGGCAGTGGATGTCATCCACTGAACTCGCTCATGGTTTGGTATGTGCTCTGCACAAGCGACGCCGATGGCGGTATCTCCTCCCTCCGCACACAGGTTTGGGTGTTCGTCCCGTTGACCTGGTCAACCGTGCCGGCCTTTTAATACTCTAATCACACGCATAAGCTCGTGCGTTTGCAAGAGACATGTCTGTGGAGCTCCCACTTGATCTAACCAGCGAGATGTGGGAGCCTAGAAAGGAGGAGGAGGAAAAGATTTGAAGCCTGGAGCTCATCTGGGAGCCACAAGTGGTCCTCGACACCTCTGAGTTGGAGGGACGCAATGAAGTGAAAGCTTGCTGTAGATTCCCTGACATGGATGAATGATGAAAGGGAGGCAGAGAGAGGTTTGGCGTGGCGTCGGTGTTTATTATATGAGGGTTTTAGCGGCAGCAGCAGCAGCAGCACAGGGCGGCCAGTCGAATGATGCTGCTTACAAGGACAGCATCCCTGTTTGTTAGCAAAGAGCATCGTATCTTCTGGGGAAGGTTCACTGCGCTGAGCTCAAAGCTCCATCGGCGGTGGGCGGGAGTTGGTGTTGGCAAGCTCGATTCGTCATTGTTTTACCGCTAACACACTCCATTGTGTTCTGCATCCGCATGGGGGCTTCAGATTTGCTAAGCAGGTGCAGATCGGTGGTGTTTCAATGTCTTCTATGACAAAGAATTAAGTGGGCAATAACTTCCAAGCTTTTGGAGCTCCCAACATCCATGGCGACCACACATAAAGCGCCAAGCAAGTGATTACTGCCAGTCTAAAGCTGATGTACTTGGCCTGCAGATCACATGGCTAAAGCATTGTTTACAGTTTGACGTGTTCCTCTGAGCCTCCTTTCGCCTTTGGTACATCCAAATTAACTCTTTGAGCAAGCTTTTGGGCCTCTTTTTCGAGGAGGACGAGATGACCACATTGGTGCGTGACCTGTGAAGGACTCGGATTTGATGGCCTTCAGGTTGTATGAAGTCCATCTTTTACCTCGTTTGTTGGTACACACTACCTGTGAAAGCTTATGGAGTGCAGGCATGTTTGGTTTTCGTCTTCTTCTCTTTGATCCGTTCGCTGTCATTGCTTGCGTCAACGTCCGTGCCAGTAGCTATCTACGAATCTTTCTCTCCGGGAAAAGGTTTCGAGATCAGAGGTCATGGCCGTGCTGCCGTGACTCCACACCTGTTCCACAAACACCGACATGGTTAAAGAAAGGAGAGATGCAAACAATGTTGATTCCGTGGGTCAATTCTATGCCAACTATTATCCATTGTCCGGTGGCATCGGAGACCCAATTCCATCAAATTCATCTACCCATCTCCCAAGAACGTCCTCCTCGTGGGCATGAAGACGAGCACAGTGCAAGAAGCAGAGAATCTCATGTTCAGTAAGGACGACAACAATGATCGATGACGGTGGCTGCTAGTGTTGGTGGACATGGATTTGGCTCTCACTTCACTGCCACTCCTCTCTGCAACTCCCCGAGTAGAAAGATCCAAGTCATTCAGATCATCATGAGAAGAGAGGAGTCGTCGATCGCTTCAAGTCTTTAATGATGTCTATCATCAACCATCATGGTCATTCAAATCAGCATCTAAAGTAGCTTATAGTGATCCGTCATCTAGAACATGTTCACTGAGTAGATTCAAGCTTCGCAAGTTCTGTTCCCTGACTGAATCTTCCACATTTTATTCCTATGCTAAGTCAGCTCAAGTGCTTTAATTTGTACTTCAACCTCCATAATAAGCATTCACAGATGTGTAGTACTCTGCAACGACAAAAGCTAGCCAAACACTTCAAGAGTTAGATCAAGCTCTTGCAGTACACAACCACTGTTATTCAAAGTTGGAAACACAAATGTCAAACTACTTCACTACAACCACATACTAGGCGATCTCGAATCATAATTTCTCCATAAGCGTTGGAACTGCATATTTGGGAAGATTTTCCAAAGATTTAGCCTCAAACATCCGAGAGATGTTACGCATCGAAACTTCTTACATCTCAATTGCTTGTCTGTCGCAATTCCGGGCGGACAAAATCAGCATCAGGTGGAACTGAGATGTCAACAGTTGGCCTCAGTTGTGCACAAACCTCGATCGCACCATGGACCGGATCGGATAAGAAGTTGCTGATGAGGTCCTGATTAAGGGGGCTCTCTTTGTCGACAGTAACAAAAGCCTGCTGCGTGAGGATGTAATCAAACCGTGGAGCCCATTTTCTGGATCCCAGACGTGCAGTCGTGGAACAGTTATCCACCATAAATGATACCCCGCGAGCATGCATAAAAGGGTTCAGTGAATCAACAGACTCTATGACACTCTCATTGATGATCTCGGAATAAGAGTGTCCCTTCTTCCTTAGGACCTCAATCTGCATAATGTTAATGCCAGAAAGGGTTTAAGCCACATGAACAAACTTCAAAAATATAAATATGCTCTTTAAACCAATAGGGTTTAAGCAACAAGAACTAATATTAAGAACAACAGAATATGTACCTGTGCCATCATCAGAGCCACATAAACTCCTGCAGTAAACGGATGCAAAGGACCCAAGTCGCCTTCAGGCCGAACAGCACGAACTTGCTCACCAACCTTCCACATACGTGTTTGATCGATTTTACCCATGGGGAAAGCGGGGAGACCATCCTTTTCCTGAAAGAGGAAATAATAATAATGTTTTTGTCATTTTTCTTCAGACAGGAAAGAGAAGAAAATCCAGTCTTTCTGGTACAAAACACATGCTTCATAAAAGCACCCAAAAAAAAAAAAACACCAGCTTTTATACAATAGCTCTGATGGCATAAACCAGCAGGCTTAAGAGCTTACATAAAAGCGCCGTCCAGCTAGTACGACGCTGCGAATTTCACTGCCACAGGCAACATCCTCATAGCACTCATACAATATGTCCATGCAAGGATAGTAGGATGCACTGTATGCAGCATTAAATTCTTTCTTCCCCTCTTCTGACAGAGCATTGTACACAGCAAGCATACCCTAAATTTTACAGAGCAGTTGAATGAGTAGGGCACCTTAGATCGAGCAACACAAAGCAAATACATTTACCTTTGTCGAAATGGTTTTTGATATTATTCCTGTGATACATTCTACAGTGTTTTTGTAAGCCAGTTCTTCGCTCATTCCATTCTCGGTGTATCTTCTAAATAATGCCTCCACAATTCCATGCACAGCACCAAGTAAAATACCTACATAAGAATCAACTAAAATTAGGTGACCTGCAGAAGTCTACTAGCAATCTAGCAGGTTGACAAACCAACCGCGCTCCCCAAAAATGTCACTCTTGTATTCCTGCTCCAATGTAGTAGCAAAGGTGAAAGGGGAGCCTAAAGCGACTGACCACCCCAGAGCAACATCTGTAGCTCTGCCATCAACATCCTGTTGGGAAAGCAAAACGGTATCATTAAGCATAACTTGTCAAGAAAAGAAAGAGATCCAAACATACATCTAGAGTTGTAAAGGCTTCGTTAAGGTGTACTGCATGGAAAAACATCACAGGAGAATTAGGTATTAATTCTTAATAGGCCAAGGAAGTACCTGGTGTACAGCAAAACTAGAATTGATCCCTGCACCGTTGATCTCTTTCCCCTGGACATACAACCTTCTAACAGATGGGCCCATTCCCTTGGGGCATACAGCAATTACACTGATGTCTTTTGGAAAATCAAGACCAACGGACTGCAAGTATCCAAGAAGAAAGCCATGGGAGAGGCCCAGGATGCTGTTTGGCTTCATGTGAGAGAGTACTTTCTCATAGTTGTCAGCCTAGAGTATCAAGACACACAGCATTGGAGTTAACTTATGGTAATTAAAAAATATATCTTCCCAACTTGCTAACCTACAGAAGCTCAAAATTAATACTGCACTAAAAGAAATCACAACACTAAACAAAAATATATTAGCAATTTGGCCAACATTATGACCTAACTCAAATACTTAAGAACAACATGTAGAATAATGATTAAAACTTAAACCATAAGTTATCATTTCAGACTTAACCTACATGTTCGATAAATACTATTATATTAGGTATACTTGCAATTTCTTTACAAAAAAATACATATTGCCATGACCATTATGATAAGGTTTTCAAGCCGGACGAGATAAAAATCTGCGGAATCATGTCAAACCAGCACATAAAGACAATCCACATGACTGCGGATTCTGTATTCTCAGAAGCTAACCTGTGCGGCATCAGAAATCAACAACAGCAGAAGATCACTGCCTGAAATTGTTTCCCAGATATCACCCAAAGTCCCATTTTCTTCAGTGAATCCAGCAGCACGTGCTTCATCAAAAGAACTAGAACCTTTTCTCAAACCAATCTGCAAATGTTCAAATCATAGCACTAAAAATTACATATACATAGAACATAAAAGAAAATCTGAAATGTAGCTTCAACATCTTAGTTCCCTTAGTTGATAAGAATGTGTAGTGCACAGAGCAGAAGCAACTTGTACAACACGGGGGAAGCATATCACATCATAAACATATTAAGGGGAAAAAACTTTAAATATACCGATAGATCAAATAAATCATGTAAAAGGGATTTAATGGAAAAACAAGCATCTAATATGCTACTCACAGTAACCTAGACAATATTAGAATTTCAATAAAGAGGCATAAAAAGACAGGCGCAAACAAAGGTTGCATCGAACTCAAAAGTAGATGTAGACAGGTCAGCAGAACTGATCATAAGAATGACTACAAGGGCAAACAATACAAACCATTTTCAGGCTAACATAAAGTTAAGCAGATATAGGTTCCTAAAATTAGAAAGAAAGAGTAAGATATCCACTAGATTTCTCACTTTTTCTTTTTGTTTGCAGGTCAAAGGTAAAATAAAAATGCCAAAAGTCCCTATTTATAACTGTCGCGGAGAAAAGGCATTGTAAAAAAAAAAGGACCAAGTGCAGAACAATTTAAACCACTATGTTATTAATAATAAATTCCATGGTTCGTCTTACCATCCGTACAAGCATACCGACCGACTATCGATATGGTACATACCGAACCATAGCAACATATTGACATATGGTATAGTGGGATATATCAACAGACTGGTATGTACTGCCCATACCAGTCCTCTATCAGACTAGTACATATCGCCCATACCGAACGAAACATCATGGAATGACGAACCTTGATAAATTTAGTATTTCTGATAGATAGCTCTATCATCATCATAAAACATATTAGTTTGTGTAGACAGTTCATGTAGGTATTCAGAGCATATATAGGTCGGATCTTCCATCGTGATGATGCAAGATCTCACTTCAAAAAACAGTGACAAATAACAAAGAAATGAAACTTAAAAGCAGAATCACCTTTACTACAATGTCTGACTTTGTGGCAGCAAGTGAATCCCTCAAATTCTGTGCTTGGGCTGGACCCTACAAAAAAAAGACCTTGGTATTAGATATGCAAAGGTGGTCCATAGAAAAAAAACAGAACCATAAGGTGAATCTAATGAAAATTACAAATAACATGACCACCCAATTTCCTATAGATAAATTATAGAAGATTGTATGGCAACTTACACAACAAAGAAACTGACAACAGTTCATGAATTTGCTAAAATGTGATAGAACCTGCAGCATCCCTCGGACTTTCCAAGAATATATGAATAAATATGCCTCGGCACAAGATGCAAAACTAAAAGAACTATTTTTTTCAATACAAGCCACCCTATGTATTTGAAAAAGAAGAAGCATAGAATCACGAGTAATATGCACATTAACATCTAGACACCATAAAACATTAAAATGCCATAATTTGTCTCCTTAAATGATCAGTGATAGTCATTCTCTATCACATTGCACCTTTTTGCCTAAAACAAGTTTAAAAATAAAGCACGCTCGAGAAAGCCATATGCTTCTACCAATAAAGCGTTAGATATTTGACCAATTATTATCTGATTTAACTCGATTTGTTTGATTCATTGCGAAACGATCAGAATAGACCGATAGGATTGTTCCCAAGAAAAAAAATTACAGAAATCACCTTCAGCCAACCTATAAATTAATGTGGCATAATGCATGTTGCAAACCCTCCAGTAAAACATACGAATTAGCAAACTCGAACAATAGCACCCAGGCAACAAGCTTCAGTTGAAGGCAAAAGGTGCTATGCAAGAGTCAAGTTTCGTCATTCTTTAACCAGTATTACCAGGAAGGAGGTGAAATTATTGTATCTGAATACAAGGAAATACAGAAAACAAAATCGCAATTTTGGCATCTATGGAAGAAAAAGTTATGCTAAAAAAGGGATATTTCACCTGAGACCCCCAGCCGATCACACCAATCTGATTGATCCCCTTGAACGCATCCGGCAACAAGGGGAACAGATCTCTTCCACCTCTAACAATATACTGATAGCAAAACAAGGACCCAAAAACATAAACGAAAAGGAAGTCAAGAACACCATTCACGCACAGAAAGAAGAAAATGGGGCGAGAAAACAAGAGGCAGAGCTGAAAGGAGGTGAAAGACCTCATCGTGGCCGGCAAGGGTGACCTTCTCCTTCTTGAACACCGAGGTCTCAAAGTCGAGGGAGGGGGCTGACCTGCCGATGGAAGGAACGGAAGAGACCATCCGGGCCGCGAGGGCAGTGCCGTTTCCGGCCGCGGCGTCCATGTCGAGCCGAGGGAGGAGACGCCTCAGGCACTTGAAGGCCGATAAGGAAGATCCAAAACCTAGGGTTTTGGGCGCCGCCGGTTTCAGCGACTTGGAGAGGGGGACGGAAGCTGCAGAAGGGGTGAAGGCAGCCGCCGACATCAGTGAGGAGAAATGCGTAGGGCGTGAGAAGGCCAGCACGAGATAAGCAACGCCACTGTTCACTTAATAATGCAGAGTTAGCACTTAGTTCGTACTTTAATGACTCACTTTTGCAAATAGCTCCCTTATATTATCATTTTCTTAGGATGTTGTGACATCACAGCGTCGGTATTTTGCATTCGTACCCCTCCATACTATTCTAGTCGAGTATCGCCCACCTACCCGCCTTCATATTGGCGGAAGGTGGGGCCGTTTAAATTCCACCGTGGGCCCAACACGGCTCCTGAAATGGGGTACGTCGGGGAAAAGGACCTCCACGCCCTGCCGCCTCACGTATACATCCCTCGGCCTCTCCTCCGGTCACCCTCCGTCCTCGTTCGTCAACAAAGACTCGAAAGGATGCCTGAACAAAGGAGTTTGTTCTCTTTGGCTACGAAGTAGTAAACCGAGAAGAGGAAGAACGAGTCCATCAGTCTTCAAATCGTATAAAGGAAAATCGAGACGCAGTTCTTTATCACCACACTACATCTTCTTCCTCATTCTAACATTTCGGCACATGCATGACGTGGAACCCAAAGCAGACGCCTCGAATGGAAGCTGGAAGTGGCTTCATCTCTCAGTCTCATCAGCACGCATTACGCCGGTAGCCAAGCTTTGTGGCGCAACATCTTTCACATATGGCCATGGTGGAGTTTGGGGTCACCTCAATGCCTTTGTGGCCGAGCGAGGACTTGAACGGCGGCCTCGGTTGAGGATTTATCCACTTGGTGAATGTGAGGCCGACGACGTGGACGCCATGTCGGGGGGGATTTAGATCACGCGAAGGTGGCTACAGATCGAATCTCTCCTTTCATGTTCTCGACCAGGAAACAGAGAGCCGTGGCCACATACCGCACAAGGCATTGGCTGCAAGAGGTGGCCACCGACGTCAATGGTGGGAGACTCAACAATAGGTTTCGTGAGTTTAGAGAAGCAACCGGGAAGTGCGAGACACGTGAGCTATGATGCTTGGTGCCCGTCCACAAGCGATATACGTGATCGATCCTGATTCAGCTTTACTAATATGTATGTCGTCCATCGTTTCTTCTTCCCCATGTGAGACTGCGATCTCGCTGCCTCCTTTTGAATTAGTCTATTGGTAGTAGTTAGCACTGTCCACAAAGCATCAATACATTTTAGATTTGGAAAGGCTGAGACAAAGCAGAGGCATGTTGGATTCTGTTCGTTCCTTCAACGACGACAACGAGAAGAAGAAGAGCAAGTTTGTGCCGCTTCGTGTCGCGGCTCGCATCTTTGACTTCCTTGCCTCCTCCCCCTGCTCCTCTTTAACAACCAATTCAGAGAAGTCCCCTGCTGCTCCTGGTCCTGCGGTTCTGAGTCCAGTGATGGCGGAGAGCGCAGGTTTGCCGGCAGCAGCGGCTGAGGATGGGATGGTGGAGGTGGCGGCGATGCAAAAGGCAGTGAAGCAGCTGCACTTTGGTGAGCGCGAGGAGATCAAGGTGGCAGCGGTTGCTGAGATCAAGAAGTTGGCGGCCGGCGATCCCGGTAGGAAGCGGTTGCTGGCCGCGCTCGGTGTCATCCCGCCTCTGGTGTCCATGCTCGTGGAGTTGCAGGACGACCAACACCGGCAGCTTGTAGTTGAAACGCTCATCGTGCTAGCCCACGGCTCTTTCAAGTGAGTAGTACACACCACCTTCTCTTCGTCTTCCTGATGTGATCTTGGAATTGTTATGTTGTCGTTCATCAAAGACGGAGGCACAATCCAAGCGCTCGTTAATGGTGTTGTCATCCTCGTCGATAGTTCTTCCTCATCAAAACCTTCTTCCTCCATGGTCATCAGCTTCTTTCGTGACGATCATACAGCAAGTACAGAAGCCTATCGGAAGAAATCCGATAGCTTGAGAAGATTAAGTTCTAGAATCTTATCATGCCCAGCCTTCTAATTCTTCTTGTTGATCTTCCTTTACCTCCAATAGGATATCAAACATATTCCGGAGTTGCTTGTATTGCTCGACTATGATGTCCACTCACATATCCTCTTTGCATTAGTCACAGTAGCAAATATCTTTTAAGCGCAGATCTAAAGATAATGGATTGAAGATTCTTTAAGCCGATGGCGAGCTGCCAACCCTCTATTATATAAGGATCTACACTAAAAATTTAGATATGTCGATGTAATGTAGCAAGAAGCAAAATTGACCGAGTGACACGACACGGCAGAGTCGGCAGATTTCCATTGTCTTAGATGTCTTTGCTAAGTTTGACTCGCAATTGTCAACGGAACAGGGCTCCTTCCTCCTCGTCTTCCCTTCTTTTTCAACGTTGACCTGGATCCCTTGTGCATCTCACCCAACTATTTCATTGACCATCAAAAGATCTGTTGGATCTCGCGGAAGATTTTCTATATATTTTTGTCATTTTGACTGCTCATAACCTCTACAGTGTTCAGTCACATCTACTTTGCTGATCTCAGTCAAACTTTTGCTTGTTCCAGGAACAAGGCACTCATTGTGGAGGCAGGTCTCCTCGTCAAACTGCAGCAGGTCACGAACACCGAGGACGTCCCAAGGAACCAGCGTTTGGCTCCCCTCCTCCTATCCCTCTCCTTCCTGGCAAAAACCCAGTCCCCAGTTAACCCCATCCGCATGCTACCTTTCCTGGTCAAAATCTCCACCGCCACCGAAACAACCGACGAGACGAAGTTGACATGCTTAGCTACCTTGTATAACCTATCCACAAAGCTCGACAACGTTAGAGCCATCGTTTCCAGCGGCGCGGTGCATATTCTCCTAAAGTTGATCCAGAACAGGAAGGCCTCAGAGGGAGCTCTGGCAACTCTGGGCAACTTGATGCTGAGTGAAGCAGGAAAGAGAGTCATAGAGGAGGACTCGATGGTCCCGGAAGCGCTGATGGAGAGCATGGCGTGGGAGGATGAGCCCAAATGTCAAGAGCTCGCCGCCTACCTACTGATGGTTCTTGCTCACCGGAGCAGGACCCAGAGGCAGAAGATGACAGAGCTGGGGATAGTGTCATTAGTCCTTGAAGTGGCATTGTTAGGGAGTCCCATTGCGCAGAAGAGGGCACTGAAGATACTGCAGTGGTTCAAAGATGAGGGGCGTGCAAGGACCGGAGGGCATTCTGGGCCTCAAGCAGACCAGATTTCGCTTCCGAGCAGCTCAGCTGGTAAGCAGCATATCCGGGAGTGCAGAAGGGCTGTGAAGAAGATGGTAAAGCAGAGCCTCGATAGGAACATGCAAGTCATTACAAGGAGAGCTCATGCTTCAGAGGATTTTTCTTGCTTCAAGAGCTTGGCTGGCTCTTCCAGCTCCAAGAGCTTGCCTTATTGAACACGACAAAGCTGACAATTTGGTCAAGGCAATTGTGACATTGTAAATCTAGTGAAAATTGATGGTCTAGTTTGCCTAATACAATGATCTATCGATGTGATCTTACATATTGCGTCTACCCTCACTGAAATTTTGTGTGTAAGAAGAGATAAGTAGGGGCATGTATAGCATGCATATCTGCTGTGTGAGAACAGAGCAGGAGGACTCACGCAGTAATGGAGGGAGTTCCAAGAGAGGCAAGCAGAAGCACATTACATGTATCAGGCAACCCAGGTAGACACCATTGGCTGCAGTCAGCGTATCTTGCAGGCTCGCAGCTTCGCATGCATTGAAGTGTGGATGGCCGTGTGCGCATCTCTCCGGTACTCCGACAGCCTTGTGATGTTTAGATACGTCAAAGGAGTAGCCATCTTCTTGATGGTTCTCTCCACAAGAGACACCATGGATCTGGGAAACCTTTGCAGGAAGGTCTCGCTGGTAATTGGCCAGGTCTGGTTGTAGCACCAGCTTTCGCTGTACGTAAATTCAAGTGTGAGATGGGAGCAGCGTTAATTACATATTATCTCTTTAATTAATTTTTTTTGATATTTTTAATTTTTTTATATTTAAAAAAAATATATTAGTATTTCTGTAATTATAAAAATGAATCATTTAGATTCGTTTACTTAATATTATCAATTTAAAAGTATAAAAATAAAAAATAAAAAAATTAAATATTTCAATTGGTGGTGACGGATGACGACGTTGATACAAATGCAAAGTAATGACATTCAACAACTATATCGACATCAATACAAATGTGAAGCAGCCTCCAGTGGTATCGTCGTCTATTACTATTAATTGAAATATTAATTTTTTTTATTTTTTATTTTTATATTTTTATTGATAAAATCGATAACGTTAATATAAGTGGACTTAAAATATTTTACTTTAATAACTATATAAATATTAATGTAACTAACTATAAGGCTAATTTGTAATTAACTAACAGGCCAAATTATCTTATTACAAGTGAGATATTGGTTTTATTATTAGAAATAATGCAGGCTCACGAAGACATATGAGATTATTTTTAATTAAACGTGTAAGAATGCTAGAGAGCTTATATTTATGATGGCAAAAGAAAGATCTAAATTGAATCTAACTTGACGGCTATTATTTCTATGAAAGATAAGAAATGCGTTGTTCCTTGTCCGTTACTCAATATCATGCATGGCAGTTAATTTTTGTTGAAATCATTGGAAACATATTCTATGAAAACTAATTATATGATCAATTAGCTGGCCAACCATACTAAAAATACTAAAACTTATTTTTGAGAGGAGAATGACTCCTTATCTTTTTATCATTGATTCGTTATGATGCATAGGGTGGATTTTGTTCTTGTGTAATTTAAGCTATAATAGTTTTCTTTTCGAGTCAAAAATAGGAAAAAACAGCTACCAAAATCATATACTTGCGCTTCATACATCCGATAGGTGCGTGCCATTCGCTGCCGACCATTCCGAGCCTCAGCCTCAGCCCACCCCATCTGTCCGACCCATTTCTCTCCTTAAACTTCTCGCTGCATGGATTTACTATATATTTATTCTTCACGCTACATAAATAGATCTTGAAGCCTCTCCCTCTCTCCATCACTTCCTTCTTTCTTCCTTCCTTTCTTTGTCATGAGATCGAGAGCTCAATGGAGTTTCGTGCTTCTCTGCGCGCTGCTGTCGGCGCTGATCGCCTCCTTGAATGGCACGGCGACCGAGAGCTTCCGTTACACGTATCATCTTGGCAATGGGACGTCGCCGGGGAGCAGGGAGGGAGCGAGCGGCATCAGCTGTAACATGTTCCGAGGCAGCTGGGTCTACGACCAGTCCTACCCGCTCTACGACTCCTCCACCTGCCCCTTCCTCGATCCGGAGTTCGACTGCCAGCGCTACGGCCGGCCCGACAAGTCGTACCTCAAGTACCGGTGGAAGCCTGATGCTTGTGAGCTCCCAAGGTTGGTTGCTGTCACCGCCACCACCACAGCTTCTTCTTCTTCCTCCTTCCGTTCATTACCGGGCAGCGACTTGCATTTAATGCATGCTCTTGTGAAGGTTCAACGGTTTGGATCTCCTGAGGAGGTGGAAAGGCAAGAAGATTATGTTCGTGGGCGATTCCATCAGCGTCAACCAGTGGCAGTCACTCGTCTGCATGCTTCACGCCGCCGTCCCCGACGCCAAGACGACCTACAAAAAGAACGACACGCTCTCCACTATAACATTCACGGTGCCGTCCTCCTCTCCTCTCTTCTCCTTCTTCTTCTTCTTCTTCTTCTCCCTCGGACTCCCATCATGACCACTGCTTTCGTCAATCGCTGTTAACATACTAATCGTCTGTTCTTTTTGTTTGTGGGGACGAACAACTCAAACGTCACATTCACAACTTGCACAACATTTTCTCCCTGGATTTGATCTCTCCGGAGCTCATTGTAACGAGGCCTAATGGCCGAACACCGCGACGATAAGCCCTTTGGGTTTTAATACTGAGAGACCTCCTCGAGATCCTGCAACTATTGCATCGAGTTGATAGGCTGGAACGAGTGTTTTCACTCACCGTATTCTGCGTCAGGCCTCAGCATGGAGTGTAACATCTATGCATCGTAGTTAGTGCATATTTCAACCTACGTAAACTTTATCACTGCCAACAGATGATTGGGAAATTTGATAGCTTATTCTCCCATCACTCAACCTGTTTCTTGATCCAACTTTTCTCATGTTATCCTCCGTGTCTGTCCTGTAAGTGAAGTCAACCCAATGGCAAGGATAAAGTACACATCCAAATTCCTCTGATTTCTTCTTTTCCCTCGTTCTGCAATCTGGCACAAAGATTATCGGGTGCCAAAACTCATGTACAACAAAGGTTTTACCATGTGTGAGCAGCAGGGATTCCAGATCCAACAGCAGCACTGCACATCAAACTAGTATCTTCCGTCATGTACCCGAGAAGAATGAAGGAGAGAGGAGAAACCCGACAGAGATCTTCATGGCGAACTTATCTGAAGCGTACAGCTGACCTGCTACTTCGAGCACAGTCGTCGTTTGTCTTGGATTTTAGACAACAGGGCACATGAATGCAAGGACAGCTAACCAGATGCAGTATTGCAGGACTATGGCGTGTCGGTGATCCGGTACCAGAGCACCTACCTGGTGGACATCGTGGAGGAACCCATCGGCCGCGTGCTGAGGCTCGACTCCATCCAGTCCGGTGCGGCCTGGCTGGGCATCGACATGCTGGTCTTCAACACATGGCACTGGTGGTCACACAACGGGAAAAAGCAACCGTGTGAGACCTGCCCTGCTCACAGATCCCCCAAAGCTCTTCTTGCCTCCCCTCTCCTCTCACCCTGTATGACAAGAAGCAACTTTGTGGCGCAGATGGGACTATGTGCGAGATGGAGACCAAGTTCTGAAGGACATGGATCGGTTGGTGGCCTTCAACAAGGGGCTGACTACGTGGGCCAAATGGGTGGATGCCAACATCAATCCTGCCGCAACCAAAGTCTTCTTCCAAGGGATCTCCCCCACCCATTACAAGTTGCGTTATACAGATAGCACTGTGAATCCTGTGGCTTCTGTTTCATGAAGCTGATCTCACTGACTTCTTCCTTCGTTTTGGCAACAGGGGAGCAGAATGGGGGGATAAGAACGCAAAGAACTGTTACAGACAAACGCAACCAGTAAACGGATCGACTTACCCAGGTGGTCCGGTTCCAGCTCAAGGAGTAGTGACGAGCGTCCTCGGCGCCATGTCCAAACCAGTCTACCTGCTCGATATAACCTTGCTTTCTCAGCTAAGAATAGATGCGCACCCGTCTGCGTACAGTGGAGATCATCCTGGTATGGACTGCAGCCACTGGTGTCTCGCTGGCGTTCCCGATACTTGGAATCAGATCCTGTATGCAGCACTTCTTTGACGGAACCGATACCTGCAACAAGATTTTTGCAAAGACTGCCAAAGCATGCAACTGGTAACCAGTTAGCAAGAATTATCTGATCTATCATCGATTGGTGAATTGGTGATTGATCACATGATGTTTATGGTATTCCTGATTCGAATGGTGCCTTCATTACTGAGAAACGATCCTCTGCTTAAATTACAAAATCAAAAGAGAAGCCTCAAGTAGAGGCAGATTGTAACATTGTCCTTTGTCATGCTAATAAGTTTCAGTGGAACTCAATTTAAGAATGGTTTCATTTACTGATCCAACTTTCTCTGTTTACAAGCAGACCTCATGGTTATTAACATGCATTCAACAGGAAAGTGATAGGAAAACCTGACAAACGCATGTTTAAAGGTAACACTAGCACTTGTATACTGCATGCATTGTTTCTGTTTAGATGCTTACACTGAGCTCCTACATGAACAGATTATTTATTTGAAGTATACCTCAGCATAGGATCTGTCGATGTCAACATATTGGCCATCCTGTTCCTCTATACTTGCATACAAGTTTCTGCACTATTGGCTCCAATAGCTTTTTGCTTGGATCATCATTATCCAAACTTATCCCAATGAAGCACTAAGTAATTTTTCGTATCCTGTTGCTTTTGCTATAGTCTCAAGTGGACTCCTAGTAAGGATCGGGATTCAATCAGCATCTTAGTATAACCTTGATGACTTGACCAATTATTCTATACTCAAAAGGTTAGTAACTCTTATCGACCATAACTTTTTGTGATTTTTGTCATGTTCGGCCTCTGAACCATCATGGTCTCGAGGGACTCGACCAACCATGATGTTCGGTTAACTCAATACCATTGTTACAAGATGAGTCTGATTCGATGATATACTCTCGAGGGACTTGATTAAGTATATTATGTTCTTAAGTTACTAGTGACATCTCTGTATTATAGGCAAGATTACGAATCGAGCCTCAAAGAATTTGACTAACTAAACATTATTAGTTATGAAGATGATGCTCTGCTGTGGGTCAGAAAGAAGACATTTCTCACATTATTGATAAAAAAAGCATAAATGCAAAAGCTGATCTAATAACTAATTTTCACGTAAGAACATCTTTGTGTGATGAACAATAGTCACTCTCTCGTTTACTTGCAAACTTCCTGAAACTATCGGAGCAATAGCAAGCCTTTCCTCGATAGCATCAAAATATTTAAGAGTGTCTCCTAATGACCATTTGATAGGGATGAATTTTCCCACGCCAGCTCATTCGAGGCCGACGCTAAAATGGTACTACAGGGTATCTCGATGACCATCCTACCTTATCAAGATCAGAGAATGATCAGACGATTTACCTAATTTTATCTCAGACCAGTCAGTAAGAAGTCCTATAGATCAAGTATAAAAAGGAATACGCCAATTCACACGGAGGGGGGACTCTCTACACACTCATATATTTATACAGCTTACACTGTTGTCTTCTCCCCTTCACTGACTTAAGTATCGGAGGGGTGGCATTGAGTAACCCCCAACGCTAACCTATCATGTAGGATTGTCGATGGATAGGAGGTGACTCCGCTGTCAGGACGTAGCCAAATAACCACGAGATAACCCTTCACCCGAGGATACCCAGATGACCCATCCTCGGGGAGGAACCTTACAACCAAGAAGATCCTAGACCGCCTACCTGGTCATCCCGAACTGAGTCCATGCTAACAAAATGACTTCCAACCGGACTACCCACGTGGTCTCACCTCACCAAGTCAATCGCGTTAGCCAAGAAGAGGCACCTGGGTGAACATGCACCTTCAGCAATGGACCAACCATGCTGACTCGTCAATCGATAGTACTTATGACACCATTATTTTAACGCTAGAAGGAAGGTCAAACATTATAGACACATCCTTCTACCTCCTTTTTTATGAACGTATAAGACAAGGAGGGCCCCTCCTCCTTTTCCCAAGGGGCGGAGGTGAGCCCCATGCTTACCTTGTTAGAAGCATCTCTTAGGCTTCGGCGTCAGGGGGTCGAGCATCCATGGCTCCGCACTCCTGCTATGCCCCTAGCAATTCGCCCCTTGACCCCTTTAAGCTGGTACATAGCTTTCCCCGCTTGCGAGAGAGTTGGAGCCAAACACTTGATGACTCCCCAGGGGATGCTCCAATGATACCCGAGGCTTAGGATCTCCCGCCCCACGAAGTGGTAATGCAAAGCAAGGGAAAAGGATTTCAAACATTCCCGAGCTCGCTCAAGAATCATTCGAAGGGCGAACGGTACATTCCAAAGAGGTTTTCATTAAATTAGACAAAATAAGTTATAAAAGCAAATATCATCCCGAAAGAGAGGCTATAAAACAAGAGCTAATAAGAAACAAAAAGGGTCATCAAGACCCAATTGCATCAGGCAAGAGGAGGTAAGGCCAGAGGAGACATCGACTGATCATCGAATGGAACCTCTGTGGGAGTTGCTAGTCATAAATGCTTTACAAGCCAATCACGTGAGTGATGACATGTGTGATATGACATACACTCTTTTTACTTAGTATTATTATGATATTTTTTTACTTTATATTACTTGATGCATAAATATATTATGGTCTCCATGGATCTATGCAATAGGAATCGGATCGTGATAAGATCACGATAATAAGACCAATTCACCTTTAAATACATATTCTAAATAATCATAGTCATAAGTTACTCGAGAGGGACATCGAGATAGCCGAACAGACTGATGTGCTGTATATTTGTCTATATGATGGAGATAATTGATCTCATAACTACTCATGTGGGGACACTAGGATTAAAGTGTTGTCATAAGAAAACTATAGCTTCATAAGATGATGATATAATACAAGCAAACACTAAAGAGTTTTTGTCTGAATCATCACCCAATTATGTTATATGATTCAAGAAGTCTAATTATAAAAAGGATAAGAATGATTTAGAAACTATATGATGTGGTTTGGAGAATTGATATTAATAATGATAAAATTGCTTTACTTTTTTTTCATGCTAGCTTTAGAGCTCAAGAATCCTGTGGTGAGAGGTAAGCACGTGTTGCTCCAAGTGAAGACAGTGACACTTTGTGGGTAATATCTGTAGGTCATGGGCAAAGGAAATTTTAGGAAAACTAAAAAGCTATGGAGTTAAAAATATGAAAGATTTGTCCTTGGTTGAAGATACCAAGAATGAACTGTGGTTTTGCATTTCTGGAGTTGTCATCAAGCTCTGAAACAATGGATGCTTACAGATATAGTATTTGGAGTTGATAGCATTGCTATGATTTCCTTTGCAGATTCTTTTATTGAGCCAAATGATGAAATCATGTCACATGTTAATTTATTGATGGGTTGCCTGCTGTATGGAATGAGGACCGTGTAAAGGATTACTAGAAGAAATATGGCAAAACGGAGAAAGTAGAACTTTTGACACTCATGTTAATGCTGTTGAGTGCGCTGAAGGCATCAATAATGCTAAACTCGGGCAAGTTAATATTGTCAAGAGAAGTGAACAAACGGTCGATATACTTATAAAATCTCTTAAAATTTAAAATATTTTATTAATTTTGAAAAAAAATGATATGTTAGATGCAACAAATTTAAGATAAAGTTTATATCTATTCTCAATCTTCATCTCTTCTCCATAAACAAGTTAATAGCTCAACTTGGCCAAAAACACATACCTGTTACTCTGCTGCTTGCAAGTGATTAGGGAGCAACTTCTTTTTGGATGCAAGAGTAGGCTTCAAGGAATCCTAATGCCAACTGTGTGTAGGGTCTGCTTCAATCATCAATCATCATGGAGAGTGGAGCCTATTATTAATAATCAGGACATCAAAGAGAAGAGATAGATGTATGGAATAGTCCACTTGCTCTATCCATCATTTTGTCTTGCCAACTGCAAATTACTGTAGGAGTTTGCTGCTGTGCCAAGTCTCTTATTAAAATAACAGTCACAGCCATTTTTAATTTATTAATGAGGTGATATCTTTCTTGCATTTGCTGTGTATGGATTAGATATTGAGCTAATAGAGTAAGTGAGAAATTATGGTCACAACAGTTCTCAGCAATCTATAATAGGCAACAATTCTATGATTGACATTTTGTGGTCCTCAATACTACTCTTTTTTGTTTGGTTGTTGAATCTATTGATTACTATCTTTTTCTCAATGTTTCTTCTTTATTTCTCTATGGCATCTCTTCAAATCCAAAATTAAGGTAAAATTTTTATTTTTTTGTGAACTGGGTGAATGGTAAATGGTTTGATAGTGGTGGTGAGTCAGAACCATTGGGCATTAATTGCTACTGGCCTTTGGTGGATCTAGCTTGGAAGAAATGATATAATTTTTATTCAGAATGCCTCCTCTCCTAATAAGATTTTACATAGAATAATCATAGCTAATGATGAGGCCAAATTACCTTCTTGCACTATGCACGGTTGACGCAGCACATGCCACCCAGGGGGTTCCAAGGTGCTGAGATGACTAACGTTTCGCATCGCTCGTTACAGTCATCACAACATAAAAAAATGGCCCAAAAACAGTCCAAACTTAGTCATTTTTGGCCGTGTGAGCGAGCGGTGAGCGACGGACAATGAGCGAAGCGAGGGACGACACCTTCCCTGTTATCCGAATGTCTCATTCAGCCCTGTTCCACCCGGGGGGTTCCAAGGTGTTGAGATGGCTGACATTTCACACCGCTCACTGCGGTCGTCGCAGCATGCGAAAACGGTCTAAAAATAGCCCAAAACTGGCCATTTTTGACTGCACGAGTGAGCGACGAGCGACGGAGTGAGCGAAGCAAGACGCAACACCTTCCCTATTATCCGAAAATCCCATATAACCCTGTGTCACCCGGGGGGTTCTAGGGTGCTGAGATGACTGACGTTTCGCGTCACTCGCTACAATCACTACATCATGCGAAAACAACCCAAAAACAATCCAAAACTAGTCTTTTTTTACTGTATGAACGAGCGGACAGCGAGCAAAGCGAGGGGCGACACCTTTAAGCGCAATGTGTTAAGTTGAAATTGAATGCCTTCAAAGTCTCATTTGAATGAGGTATTGGTTTTGTTATTAGAAGTGATTTGGATGCAGGTTCATGAAAGTATATGAGGTCTTTTTTCAATTAAAGCAGTAGTAGGAGTGTGAGAGAGCTTATGTGTTGTAGTTTCTGATGGTATAAGAAAAACTCCAATTGAATCTGACTTGATGATTATGGTTTGTGTGATAGACAAGAAATGTGTTGCTCTTTGTTCGTTACTCAATATTATGCATGACATTTGATTTTTGTTGGAATCATTTGAGACATATTCTGTCTATCATGAATATAAAGAAACTTAACTATATGACTTATTAGCTGGCCAACAATACTAAAAATACTAAAACATTTTTATTTTTGAGAGGAGAATGATTGACTCCCTTATCTTTTATCATTGATTCGTTATTGTGGAATCTAAGCAATAATAGTTTTCTTTTTGGGGAAAAAATAGAAAAGAAAAAAGGCTACCAAAAGCATATACTTGCACTTTATACATCCGGTAGTGCATGCCATTCACTGCCGACCATTTCAAGCCTCAGCCTCGGTCCACTCCCTCTGTCCCTCCCCTTTCTCTCCTTAGACTTCTCGCTTCATGGATTTACTATATATTTATTCTTCACGCTACATAGATAGATCTCCTTGAAGCCTCTCTCTCTCTCTCTTTCTCCATCACTTCTTCTTTCTTCTTCCTTCCTTTGTCATGGGATCGAGAGCTCAATGGAGTTTCGTGCTGCTCTGTGCGCTGCTGTCGGTGCTGATCGCCTCCTTGAATGGCACGGCGACCGAGAGCTTCGGTCACACGCATCATCTTGGCAATGGCACGTCGCCGGGGAGAAGGGAGGGAGCGAGCGGCATCAGCTGCAACATGTTCCGAGGCAGCTGGGTCTACGACCAGTCCTACCCGCTCTACGACTCCTCCACCTGCCCCATCCTCGATCCGGAGTTCGACTGCCAGCGCTATGGCCGGCCCGACAAGTCGTACCTCAAGTACCGGTGGAAGCCTGATGCTTGTGAGCTCCCAAGGTTGGTTGCTGTTACCGCCACCACCACAGCTTCTTCTTCCTCTCTTTCGTTCATTACCGGGCAGCCGCTTGCATTTAATGCATGCTCTTGTGAAGGTTCAACGGTTTGGATCTCCTGAGGAGGTGGAAAGGCAAGAAGATTATGTTCGTGGGCGATTCCATCAGCATCAACCAGTGGCAGTCACTCGTCTGCATGCTTCACGCCGCCGTCCCAGACGCCAAGACGACCTACAAAAAGAACGACACGCTCTCCACTATAACATTCACGGTGCCGTCCTCCTCTCCTCTCTTCTCCTTCTTCTTCTCCTTCTTCTCCCTCGGACTCCCATCTTGACCACTGCTTTCGTCAATCGCTGTCAACATATTAATCGTCTGTTCTTTTTGTTTGTGGGGACGAACACCGCAAACGTCACATTCACAACTTGCACAGTGGCTCACTTGTTAGAGCTCATCATGGGAGACAGCAGAGCATGTCTGTGCACTGTGCGACATTTTCTATTTTACCTTCTCCCTGGATTTGACCTTTCCTGAGCTCATGTCACGAGGCCTAATGGCCGAACACCGCGACGATAAGCCCTTTGGGTTTTAATACTGAGAGGCCTCCTCGAGATCCTGCAACTATTGCATCGAGTTGATAGGCTGGAACGAGTGTTTTCACCGTATTCTGCGTCAGGCCTCAGCATGGAGTGTCACATCCACGCATCGTAGTTAGTGCATATTTCAACCAACGTAACTTTTATCTCTGCCAACGGATGATTAGGAAATTTGGTAGCTTATTCTCCCATCACTCAATCCAACTTTTATTCTCCCATCACTCAACCTGTTTCTTGATCCAACTTTTCTCATGCTATCCTCCTTGTCTGTCCTGTAAGTGAAGTCAACCCAATGGCAAGGATAAAGTGCACATCCAAATTCCTTTGATTTCTTCTTTTCCCTCTTTCTGCAATCTGGCACAAAGATTACCGGGTGCCAAAGCTCATGCACAACAAAGGTTTTACCATGTGTGAGGAGCAGGGATTCCAGATCCAACAGCAGCACTGCACATCAAAATAGATCTTCTGTCTTGTACCCGAGAAGAATGAAGGAGAGAGGCGAAACCCGACAGAGGTCTTCATGGCGAACGTGTCTGAAGCGTACAGCTGACCTGCTACTTCGAGCACAGCCGTTGTTTGTCTTGGATTTTAGCCAACAGAGCGCATGAATGCAAGGACAGCTAACCAGATGCAGTATTGCAGGACTATGGCGTGTCGGTGATGCTGTACCACAGCACTTACCTGGTGGACATCGTGGAGGAACGCATCGGCCGCGTGCTGAGGCTCGATTCCATCCAGTCCGGTGCGGCCTGGCTGGGCGTCGACGTGCTGGTCTTCAACACGTGGCACTGGTGGACTCACAAGGGAAAAAGCCAACCGTGTGCGACCTGCCCTGCTCACAGATACCCCAAAGCTCTTCTTGCCTCCCCTCTCCTCTCACCCTGTATGACAAGAAGCAACTTTGTGGCGCAGATGGGACTATGTGCGAGATGGAGACCAAGTTCTGAAGGACATGGATCGGTTGGTGGCCTTCAACAAGGGGCTGACTACGTGGGCCAAATGGGTGGATGCCAACATCAATCCTGCCGCAACCAAAGTCTTCTTCCAAGGGATCTCCCCCACCCATTCCAAGTTGCGTTATACAGAGAGCACTGTGAATACTGTGGCTTCTGTTTCATGAAGCTGATCTCACTGACTTCTTCCTTCGTTTTGGCAACAGGGGACCAGAATGGGGGGATAAGAACGCAAAGAACTGTTACGGACAAACGCAACCGGTAAACGGATCGACTTACCCAGGTGGTCCGGTTCCAGCTCAAGGAGTAGTGACGAGCGTCCTCGGCGCCATGTCCAAACCAGTCTACCTGCTCGACATAACCTTGCTTTCTCAGCTCAGAAGAGATGCACATCCGTCTGCTTACAGTGGAGATCATCCTGGCATGGACTGCAGCCACTGGTGTCTCGCTGGCCTTCCCGATACTTGGAATCAGATCCTGTACGCAAAACTTCTTTGACGGAACCGATACCTGCAACAAGATTTGTGCAAAGACTACCAAAGCATGCAACTGGTAACCAGTTAGCAAGAATTATCTGCTCTAGAATCGATTGGTGAATTGGCCATTGATCACATGATGTATATGGAATTCCTGATTCAAATGGTGCCTTCATTACTGAAAAACAATCCCCTGCTTAAATTACAAAATCAAAAGAGAAGCCTCAAGTAGAGGCAGATTGTAACATTGTCCTTTGTCATGTTAATAAGTTTCAGTGGAACTCAGTTTAATAATGGTTTCATTTACTGATCCAACTTTCTCTGTTTACAAGCAGACCTCATGGTTACTAATATGCATTCAACAGGAAAGTGATAGGAAATCCTGACAAACACATGTTTAATGGTAACACTAGCACTTGTATACTGCATGCATTGTTTCAGTTTAGATGCTTACACTAAGCTCCTACACGAACAGATTATTTATTTGAAGTATACCTCAGCATAGGATCGGTTGATGTCAACATATTGGCCATCCTATTCCTCTATCCTTGAATACAAGTTTCTCTACTGTTGGCTGATGAGACCTTTGATCCCCACTCCAATAGCTTCTTGCTTGGATCATCTTTATGCACACTTACCCGAATGAAACACAAGCAATTTTTCTTCTCCTGTGGCTTTTGCTATGGCCTCTTTGAATTCCTCCTCAGTCTTCACCTACAAAAGTTCACAGGATTTGCTTTGTCACATGAGTTCCAAACACGATTGTAGGGTTAAAATCAGCAATTGTTGTCACAAACTCACCTTGCCCCGCTGTTAATGGCACCAACAACTCCAGTATAGTTCCGGTTCTTAATCACATTGTAAGGCCCATCATGGATCTCTACTTTAATGGTGTATCCACCATTATTAATGATGAAGACAATGCTCCGCTGCCCTGCTGGATCATATTCAATACATCTTGAGCTGTCACATAAAGAATGACGGGAAGTAGAAGTAATGCTGAGCAAGGATTGAATTATACGGTACCAAAATTTTGAGACTTATTCGGTATGGTACGGTATATCGAGCGGTATATTTCGGTATACCGCTCGGTATATATATATATAGGTAAACCGCTCGGTTTATCTCTCTACGGGGCAACATCGACTCACTTCTCGGGCGACGTCGCCGAGGCGATGTCGCAGATAAAAAAAAAAATTTGCGCCGAGGCTATGTCGCAGATAAAAAAAAATTTGCAAGCGACGTTGCCCGAGAAGAGAAGAAACAAAAAATCTTCGCCTCTCTCCGCCTCTCGCCGCCGATGCCTCTTCTGCTACACGCGGATAAGAAGTCGCCGGCAAACGAGGAGGAGAGCGGCGATCTCCAGGTTCTCCCTTTTTTTCCTATTTATTTCTTCCCCTTTTTTTCTCCCTTGGTCACCATCGACGATAACGCCTCAATCGATGGTACCCCTCAGTAGTGGACGGTCTATGTATTGGTTTATTGACGGACCGGTACGTACCGCCCGATACGGGTGGTGTCATTCGGTATTGCAGACCTTGATGCTGAGTACTGAATACACAGAAACTATTTTTTCCCCCTTCTTTCTTTTTTTTTCTTCCTTTAAGATGTGAGGAACCCAAATGTAAGTACCACCAGCCCTCTATATACTGCTGGGTCAGAAAGAAGACATTTCTCACATTATTCATAAAAAAGCATAATCTGAATGCAAAAGCTGATCTAATCACTAATTTTCACATAAGAACATCTTTGTGAGATGAACATGCAGGTAGTCACTCTCTCATTTACCTGGAAACTTCCTGCACCTATTCGAGCAATAGCAGGCCTTTCCTTGACAGCATCAGAATATTTAAGAGTGGCTCCTACTGACCATCCAATAGATCCAAACTGCATTTGGAACCCATATATGTTTCAGTTGCATTCTTGAGTTGAGCCAAATGCCATCATAATAAGGAAGTCAGAACATTAGGAACAATCTGATCATAAAACTTACTCACCCACACATCTCTGGCAAACAAAGTCTTTGGCAATTGAACCATGAATCACCAGTCTCTGTAATAACATTGGTCTCTCCACTCAGCACACCTGCTTAATGGCATCAATTGTACAAGAAACAAGTAGTACAATACTGAACCTAATTAGAATTATGCATTTGTTGTGAACAAAGATGCTCTTTGATATTTTTAAGATGGGAGAAGGTTGGTGTTGAAAATGGTAATAAAAAAAATGCAACAATTATGTACTTTTTGTCAAAATTAGCTAAACACAACAAAGTTTTGATTGTCACTGAAGTAGTAAACCCCTCAAAAAAGTGAAGGAAGAAGAACAAAATAAAAGGTGTTTTGCAACCAAGGACTGATGTCATACCAATATAAGTTGGTAACGGTTGGTGCTCTTTTTTTTTTTTTAATGATACCAAATGATATAGGAGGGTATTACCTGAAATGAAATTAGTATTTGACTGAAAAATAAAATTTAGATTTCAATCATGTTAAGGGAAAAACAAATAAATGAAATATGATTTGATAGCAAGAATAATAATGGCAAACTTGCATGAATGTGCTTAAAAAGGATATTGACCCATAAAGGCTCATTATTCTCCCATTTGAGAAGTATGCTTGAAGGCCGTAGATACACCAGTAATTAACCGAAGTAGTCGTATTCTTCCTGAGCTTCCGAGATGCAGTTAAAAAGTCCGCAATGAAAGGGAAAGACCATTATCAATAGTAACTCGGTCAGGCTGTCCAATCACTGCTTCTTCTCAGAATGGAATAGCCCACACAGCTATAGTCATTAAACATTGACCTAACAAACACATTTGCATCAGCTGATTCCACAATCTCACCACAGAAGTTGGTACTTATGGTACAACTATTAAGCACCAATGAAGTGAGGACGGTGATCTGGTACCATACCTTTAGCTGATGCAATAATGGCTATTGGATACTCACATGCATCTGCTAGCTCCATGAAGGCCTGCTGGGCTTTGGCTACCCTCAGTTTCAGTCCTGCAACTAACAATGGCTTTACAGCCTTTGTATGATAATTACATACAAATTAGAAGTAAAATAAAGGTCTCAAGAATATTGCCTATAGCAATCATATTCAGATCATAACTATTAGCAGCTCAGCCTCAGCCCTCAATGGTATCAAGTCCTCAAGAATGCACATATGATTGTATCTAAAGATGTAGATGTTTGGGTCTACAAAGACTCTCAGGACATCAGTCTTTGTCACAGAACTTATTCAGTGATCTCTTACTGGGCATATCAGTTAACAGTACTCGGAACTGTATTGCCTACCTAAAATTGCTGCAAAACTGAAGGAATGATACATAAAATTAAATTCTACCACAATCACATACAGTTTACGCTGCTACGATTCCGTAACCAAAAATTGACAGCATCAGAGAACTAACTAATGAGTTAGCTTTTGTGCTTAGCAAATTCAAAAATGATGATAACAACATGCATAAAAGAGAAACTTCTCATCCATTCCAAGTTTCCCATATCCTGAAACTGGAAGCTGATAGAATTCACAATATACAAGCAAGAAAAGATCTATAAGGCAGGTATATTTCCTATTCACACACACACACATACCCACAATCTAACTTGAGCATACTCTGTCAGTACAGACCTGTTCAATTTAACAACAAATAATTGACAGTATATATATTTTCTATTACTTAGATTTTTCATATTAGTTAAAACCATTAGCCATTGTACTTAATCAGATTCCTCTGACATTTTCATGGAAAGATTGTCAATAGATATTAATATCGTAATTGACTCTCGAATTCAGGTTAAATCTATTACTGAGTACGAGTGATTCTACTGATGACAAACTAGACCACTGTTAGATATCGATGAAACACCCATGCAGAGTGAGCACACAACCATGTGCACACATTGCCAGGAGCTAAAGAAACTATCAACCATCTAACTGTACAATTCAGCTCCACATGAAAGACTGAAATTTGTAGCACTTTTCCAGGTAGACTATTGCATTAAGTATTAACTATGTTTGCTTGTAGAATACAAATGACTTAGACCTGGAGATGAATTCAAGAATATTAATACTGATAGAAGATGACAGGCAAATGTTCAGAGAACAGGAAAGCGCATACTTCTGTAGTTTAGGAGGATAACAGTAAGCAAAGGCGACAGAGACGCTCAACAGTTAGACAGATAAACATAAAGTTAAATGCGGCTTGCAATCACAAGCATTGAGATTGAATATAACTTTAGGTAATCTGATCAAACACTTGCAATTGAAAAGAAACGATCGGTTGATTCCACATGCTTTAGTAATCATCAGTGTCCAATCGTAGAAATCGAACAAAATAGTAACTAAAATGATTCTGGCTTATTATCCTCTGTACCAAGATATCAAATTAGCATTTAGCAGAATGTCCAAGGCTACCTCTTTGGGCGCGAGGAAGTATGCAATGTGCTCGATCACGAAGGTAGGTGTGGATCCCCGACAAGCTGCGGCTGATGCTGACGATTGAAGTACACGGGCAAGCTCTGCTTCAAGTCCGACGAGATCGCCGTGTGGATCATCGTCCACTCCAAATTATATACCACCTCCTACAAATTACAAGCCGATATATAAGCCAATCTGACAAAATCCACGCTCTTGCTCGTTGAAATCGGAAACCAACTCGGTGACCTCGGAGAAGCCGATGGTATGGAGGAGGATGCGGCTGGTGCCATAGTCGTCGGAGTTGTGCCCTCCCACGACGCAGATGACGGGTGAGGTTGTCGCCGCAGGAGTCGGCTACGCCAACGGTGAAGGTGAGATGAGCGGGAGTATCCGACCGCAGCGAAACCGGAGCTGAGCTCGATGCAGTAGACCACCAGATTGAGCTCCGGCTCCGCGGTGAGGTGGCCAAGCAGGGCCAGATTGACGTCGGCGGGGACAGCGGACACATCAGCACGCCGACTTGCACCAGCCAACGGACCAGGTGCCGGCAAGCGTCCCGGGGCTCCGCCGCCGGTAGCCTGTGCGCTCTCCATCGGCTACTGGTGGTGGCAGTAGCGAAGGCTGTCGAGAAGCAAGCAAGCAGAAAGCGAGGGTGCAATTATTTATGCTCATCTATTAAGGCACCGTTCGAAGGGCACGCAAATTAACGCTGATATTAATAAATGACGAGAAATATTACCCGAATTTATAAAAATTGGGTGGCGAATATATTTTTTCTTAAGGATGATATTTGTTAAAATAAAAAATATGCCTCAGATTTATGTTTTTTTTTTAAACGGACCAAATATTTTTTATCCTCTTTAACCATCGTTTATGTAGGTTTTCTTTTAAATTTATTATAAAATATAATCGACCAATCGATACGAATAATCAATCAATCATTCGAATCTTATGATTGATATGATGAATTAATACGAGAATGTACGCGAACATCATATTATGACTTAGATTAAAATGTCACGTGTCCCTCTCTAATCATAAATGATCCTAGATATAATCTTTTTCAAGACTACTAATAAAAGGGGTCTCTAAGCATGCTCTTGAGGAGTTTATTTTTAGTATTGATCGATTAGTCTAAACTCAATAACTAATTTAATCGTCTGAGAGATATTTATTGGGAATATCCCTCAGTTTTTATAGGTTCGACACATTACGAATTGTGACTTGGACTAAGACTGACTTGGAATGGATCTTAGTTGGATCCGAATTATCATCTTAGCTTCGATAATCCGAATATACACTAACATATTGGATCATGCCTCAGGAAATTTTTTTAAGACCTTCCGAGTTAAATCATCAAGTTTCGAATAAACTAAACGAGTGGAACAAATAGAACAAACCAAACGAGTCAAATGAGCCGAATGAATTGAGCAAACGGGGAGGTTTGAGTCCGATCATGACGAATGCCCTCTTGCCAAAATTACCAATATCGATCCTCCTAAGGCAGATTTAGCTTGGGCCTTCGATAGAACCAGCTCCTCTCACTTGTTAATTATCCAATCCTCAACTCTTTTATCAACTATTTTAAGATTTGATGAGCAATCCATCACCACTTGCTCATCCTCCGATATCATTAGCCAAAATCGTAATTATACTTGTAGAAATCTCCTATAACCCAAGAGTAAGAGGGATCAAAGGAACCATCGATTGAGCTCCTTCGAGATGTATGAGTTGAGCTCTTCAAGATGGATCAATGGCTAAGAACATCAAGAAAATGGTTACGGTCTACTTGGCGAGCTCCCCCATTTCCTTTTCATCAAACTCGACTTCATCTTCTTTTGCAGGAGGGGTGAAGTACTTGCGATCATTGGTTACATCAGATTCGACGAGGATGACCTCTCTGATTGTCTTGCTATTAAGGACCTCCATTAGTGTGAGATTGGAGTGAGGGCAATGAAAGAGAGTTAGGGTTAAACCTTTCTCAAACCCTTTTGACGCCTTATACTTGGCCACTCACCCGACATCATATTCGGGTTGTTGAGTCTCTTCGATATCTTTTGTAGCTGAGCCTTCTCAACGCGGAGGGCGATAATCTCCGTGTCCAACTTTAGCTACATATAGTTGAAGCAGTGTCGATTAGCTCTCACCTCAACTATCAATTGCTTTGTGTAATCGAGTCGACTCACTAGCTTTATCGACTTACATCGCTTCACCGTCAACTCCCTCTCCAAGTTTTTTTAGACTTGAAATTTTATGAGCTTATCGGAGGGAATCTAAATGCATCAACCTTAGGACACGAGCATTCGAAGATATTTAATGTTCTTTAACTAAGTAAAATATTTTCGTATATTTCTATATTATATAAAGATATTCGAACCAATCGTTTTTTATATAAATAATTTAATTATTTTATGCAATAATAACTATTAATTTCATACTATATATATATATATATATATATATATATATATATATATATATATATATATATATATATATATATACAATTTTCGGACCTTATTTTATCTCAAAAACTAAGATGAAATAATAGATATATGGAGGACTAATTCACATATCTGTCGAATATATCAGTGAAGATTGGATTTACGCCGGTCGAAAAAGAAGCGCCTCCTGGGTGGGAGTCCAGGGAAAGGGATCCGGCGAGGGCCTCGGCCGAAGAAGCTCCGTCCGGGTTGGAGCCCAGGGAAGGCGATCCCACCAGCGGGACGGGGCGAAGAAGCTCCTCCTGGGTGGGAGACGAAGAAAGGGGATAAGATGAGCGGCCCGGCCGAAGAAGAAGTTCCTCCAGGTTGGGAGAGGAGGGTAGGGGATCCGACGACCAGCTCCGCCGAAGAAGCTCCTCCTGGGTGGGAGACGAGGGAGAGGGATTCGATGAGCAGCCCGGCCGAAGATGTTCCTCCTGGATGGGAGAGGAGGAAAAGGGATCCGAGAAGCAGCCCGGCCGAAGAAGCTCCTCCTGCGTGGGAGGCGAAGGAGAGGGATCCGACGAGCAGTCCGTCCGAAGTTCCTCCGGGATGGGAGACAAGGGAAATGGATCAGAGTAGCTGCCTGGCCGAAGATGTTCCTCCTGGGTGGGAGACGAGGAAACGGGATCCGACAAGCAGCCCGGCCGAAGATGTTCCTCCTGGTTGGGAGAGGAGGGAAGGGGACCCGACGAGCAGCCCGGCCAAAGAAGATGTTCCTCCTGGTTGGGAGAGGAGGGAAGTGGATTTGACGAGCGGCCCGGCCGACGAAGATGTTCCTCCTGGTTGGGAGAGGAGGGAAGGGGATTCGACGAGCGGCCCGGCCGACGAAGATGTTCCTCCTGGTTGGGAGAGGAGGGAAGGGGATTCGACGAGCGGCCCGGCCGAAGGAGATGTTCCTCCTGGTTGGGAGAGGAGGGAAGGGGCAATGACGAGTGGCCCGGCCGAAGAACCTCCTCAAGGGTGGGAGAGAAGGGGAAGGGACCTGACGAACGGCCCGGATGAAGAAGTTCCGCCCGCGTGGGAACCTTCAGCTCCGCTGCAATCACAACCTCCTGCACTCCTTTCACCAGCTCAAACTACAGGTTGGGTTTTCCCTACTGCTCCAAACGAATCGAATAATGTCCTAAATTTATATGACTCAAACTTCATTTTTTTTTTAATGCTTTTGGGATTCGAGTAACACAAATTAGCATCATCTCTTTGAGCGGAGGAGGTGAGTCTGTTAATGATCTGCAGGCACTGTCTTTCATAATTGTAACATCTGTGCAACATCATATGGAAAAAGAAAAATAATATTTTTATCTCTTTTTTCGTGTCTCCTTGCCCTAAAATATATTAGTTCCTTTTTGTTGGTCTACAACAAAAAATTATCATGATAGAAAGGTTGGATGAGTTACTAGGGTTTGAACTCTATCTATAGATAATCTATGCTAACGTGATGCTTTAGCTTCAATTTTTGTGAGGGTTGGAATGCCAGTTTGTGACCACAGTGGTAACGATCAATTTTATATTTTCAATGTGGATGTTTGTAATAATAACACAGAAGTTCAATGACAGATTGCATAATGCTATGTAAATACCTAGGAGGTAGGAACTGTAAAATGCATTGGTTATTGTGATGGTGAATATCTGCTTTGGAAGTGAAGATACATCACTGGATCACCTACAAAAAGTACAATATAAGATTCCACAGAGCATCTGAAAATGGTGGTACTATTGATCAATGTGGACTCTAAAGGGAGAAGTGCTAGATACATAAATAGTACAGAGCTTACTGGTTTAGATATTTTATTCTACATAATTGGTTTAGAGCTTAATTGTCGAGATACTTTATTCTCTAATAAATTTTTTTGATATGTATATATACATATATATTTACTAGTTAATTGGAAATTGCTTTGCTTCATTAAATATTAACACAAAAATTGACAATATAAGGTACATGGTGTTGAACATGATGTCATAAATGGGGGACCAATGTAGTAACCAAGGATGGTCTTTTCGCTCAGATCAAACGGGTGGTAAGTATTGGTCCAAGTGTGAATTGGTATGTGGACCGTCCCTTTTTTGGGTGGTTTGCTTTGACCCATTAAAACGAGTTCTCTCCAACATGTTTATTCGAACATGAGTCCTCTTCGTCCAAACGTGCTCACAAGCCCTCTTTTCTCGAACATTCTATTGCAAGCCCTCTTAACCTGAACATGAGTGCATCTAGCCTCACACTATCGGTGTCATCGCTCGTCACCCACCACTTGCCGTGTGCTATCGACAGATGGTTACACTTCCTCCTCTTCCTCCCTCCTCTCCCTCCACCGCCTCCTTTCCTTCTTCCTCCTCCCTCCTCTTCCTTTCTCTTCCTCCTCCTTCCTTTTCCTCCCTCCTTTTTCTTACTCCTCTTTCTCCTTCCCTCCTCTGTCTTTATCGTCCCTTTCTCTTCTCCTTTTTCTTCCTTTTCAAAACACCGGTATGGACCAGTGTGTATGACCAAATCATTGGAATTGGTCCAGTACCCAAAATGATGATTGTTGGTAGCAGCTATTGATTCTTATTCACTATCAAAAGTTTTGGAACTAAATGATATCACAACTTCAATCCTGCCATCAACTAATAAGATGCTAATTTAATTAAACAAGTAATTGAAAACATTAACTAAGATATTTAAGGCATTGAGGATTGTGATGGAGCCAGTGCCGTATGAAAATATGATGATCAACTAGGATAATGTTGATAGCCGTAAACTTGTTTGGTGATATTAGTTGAAGAACTAGAGTAGATGTTAAGGAAAAAGAAAAAGGGATATAGATGTCTAGTACTGGTCCTGCAAGCTAATTGTTACTTCTTACCAAAACCTTTGGACCTTACCACGTATTGGTTATTTGAAGGCAAATTTATTAGAGATTTGTCACAAAGTTGCAAAATTTTTGTGCCATTAATGAACCTAGATAATATAATAACATAAAGAATGTTTTGCAGAATTTTTACTTTCACTAATTCATGTTCTCTTAACTTTGTAGATGCTAAATAGTAATCAGGTACATTGAGTTTTCATGTGAATATATTAAACATGAAAGCTTTTTCTGTATTTGATTTATTAATAACTCTAATTTGACAGAGTTTGGCTCGATCAAACATGAATGACTAACCAAACACAGCAATTTATATTCCCCCGTTGTAATTGCTGTGTTTGGTTAATCATTCATTCGATGACTTGTTGATAGAATTTACTAGGCTGAAAGCATATGGGTTCAGATCTAGTTAGAATCATCTGTTACTTTGACTATGAGCCTCTTTTATTTACTATAATTAGCACATTCATACAATGAACCAGTGATTACACAATATGATAATTTTCTCTTGGTAATAATTTAATTTTTATTCCCAGCCTGCATTTCCTTGATTTTCAGTTTCTAATGTTTCAAATTTTAAATCAGAAATGGGTCAGATGGTCTGTGGTGGTTGTCGCCAACTGCTGTCTTATCCTCGGAATGCAAGTTATGTCCAGTGTGCTTCCTGTCAGACAGTTAATCTTGTACTTGAAGGTAAATGCTTCAATTTTGTCCTGTAGTCTGCACATGCAAGTTATTTTTTGCCGACTGCCTTAATTTATCCTTTTTTTGCTTATTTGTGTGCAACAAATGTAGTCTCATTCTTAAATGTCAATCCCAATTCAAAAATTGTAGGAAAATGAAATCTTTGACTTTCATTTCTAAAGCTTCTGTCGTCTGAGTATAGGTGCTGTATCATTCCCTTTCAGCATAAATTTATGTCAATCAACTTTTGTTTCTTTCCACAATAATCATTCTTCTTTGGACATTTTTCAATATGGCAAGCTGTTGAACCTTCTCTTTTTATGTTCGACAAGAGGCTATTTCTTTCAATTACAATTGTTATTTTTTAATGTTCAGTGCTGGGTTTTAAAATTCGAATGATACGCTTGTACCGGGCGGTACGTACTGGTCCGCCAGCAGACCAGTACGCGGACCACCTACTATCGGTCGGTGACTGTTGATTTTGACTATCGCTACCCGTTACAGGGTGGTATTAGTCGAGGGAGAAGAAAAGGGAGAACCTAGAGATCTGACGTCGCTCTCCCTTGACGATCCCGATCTGTTGCTGCCCTCCCTCGCCGGACGTTGCAGATGAGATGTCGCCTCCTTCTCGTCTAAGGTTATGAGGCCTCGCGTCGTCGGCGACTTCTCCTCATCCGTGCAGGGAGAAGAAGCCTCAGCGACATCGCTGAGGCTTTACGGGGAGAAGAAATCAGGGACATTGTCCTTTTTTTATTTTTAAACTTATATATATATATATATATATATATATATATATATATATATATATAGCGGTACGCTAGAGCATATCGCTCGGTATACTTGTACCGTACCATACCATACCGAGTTGAGCTCGATACTTCGATATGGTACGAAATTACGAATCTTGATTCAGTGTGCAGATATATATCAAAATTGCTCTATTGAGATTTACCTATTGACCCATGATGGCAGTCCTTTGCTCGAGAGCCTGATCACATATGTGGTCATGAGTTTTCATGTATTATTCAACATATTGTGGTTCACAGAAGTTTGTCTTTTTCTATTCTTGCCAAATAATTTTATTTCCTCCTCTAATTCCTCATCTTGCCGATCATCTTGCATAAGGACACCAATGGTATTATATTGCAGATTATTTTGATGATATTTTTTATTAACAACGGTTATTAATAGAAATTGTGTTGTAGCTCATCAGGTTGGCAATGTGAAATGCGGGAGATGTTCTGTTCTATTGATGTACCCCTATGGAGCTCCATCTGTGAGATGTTCTTCATGCTGCTTCATTACTAAAATTGGAGTAAGTAAACACTTGATTTATACAGCTGTTTATTACTTTTATGAGAACATACTGCTCAGTGTACCATTTCCATTCATCTCTATTTTTATGTCTGCTTTTATAATTATAGTCATAAGCAGAAGGAAAGAACGAATGGAAAAGGACTTCTGGCTTAGCCAAGACTTTTCTTTGCACTATGGCCTTTGACTTCTTTCTTTTATTTTCATTGAACTGTTGATAACTCAACGTGGAAGTTCATTCGGTGAACAACATTTAGATATCTCAATCCAGTGGAAAGTCTATCAATTGATCTGGCTTAGCCAAAACATAGATCTGATTTTGACTTCTTTCTTTCATTTCGATTGAACTGTTGATAACTGAACGTGGAAGTTCATTCGATGAACAACATTTAGATTTTAGATGTCTCATTCAGTTGAGCTGTTGTCCCATATCAGTAAAATATCTGAGTCTGGTCTGATTGCATCATTCCTGCTTGCGTTTAGTTAATTAAACTCCCTTGATAGACGAAGTAAGGAAATTGCTAACCCTGATATACGTTCTGTGCTCAAGTACCATGGACATAGCTGCCCCTGTGATCAGTGTTCATAGGCTAAGCCTGTGATGCAAACTTTTCTCCCCTTTTGGTAAATAGTGGTGAGACTTTGACTCTTTCCTTGATTCTGATTTACTTTTTGTGACGGAGCATCATGCTTCCAGTAAGCTGAACATGAAGACACACATACACATGTAAAACATTGATGTCAACTAAAGGGAGTTGTGAGCTGGAGTTTTCGTATAACTCTGAGTTACGAGGGAATTCCACTCCTCTCGTTAGTCATTGCTTATGAAAATGAAATTTGATATTGGTCATTCATTTGATCTTTGCCTTTTTCATGTAATTATCTCTTAATACTGAACAATATTCACATATAGAAAATTTATGGAATAGTGGTCTAGATCAACGATTGTTGTACCACCCAAATTGGTATGAAGTGGGCAGTACGGACTGGTCCAGGCATGGACCGGTATGTGGACCACCCCTGCTTTGGGTGGCTCGATCCAACTCAGAAAAAAAAAAACAGCCATGGGGCTGTCCAACTCAGCATTAAAAGAAGAAAAAAAAAACCTTAAAATAGAAACCAAGGCTCGCTAATGTGAACCCTCTTCTCGCATTCAACGTTGCTGTTGCTTCGCAACGCTGCTGCCGTAGCCGCTGCTTCGTGACATTGCCACCATGTTTCTTCTTCTTCCTAGGGACACTCCCACCTCTTTTCCTCTTCTCCTCTGCGGCCTCTGTTTTCTTCTTCTTCTTCTTCCTCCATCACTTTCTCTTCTTCCTTCTTCCTCTGCTTCCTCCTTTCTTTCTATTCCCTTCTCATTCTTATTCTTTTTCTTCCTCTCCAAAACATCGATACGTACTGGTGTTCTAACACATGGTACATCGGTGTGAACCGGTATACCGGTCCAACTAGATCATCGAAACGGGTCCAACACCCAAAACGGCAAACCTTGGTCTAGATTATTTATTTTTTAAATACTTCTATCATTGTATGGTCTGAGCTCAATTTTGATATTTGTTCACAGGAAATCTAAGGATGAAAGGATTGTTCAACAACTACTTGAGTTTTGTAGATGTTTTTCGTCTACATATTGATTGTGATATAAAATCGTGCGACTGAACACTCCTGGTTACCGTTCATTTTGTGATTTATAGGAATGCAGGTGGTTATCTGATGATGACAAGTCCTATGCTCCTACTTCTGTTTTGTGTTACGCCTTCAATTCAGTAGTGACGTAACTAAACTTAGTTATGGGAGAATCGAGTTTCATGGCTATCTTCATCTGGTACTAGATCTTCAGTGGGACACAACACAGGATATCACTGTTTCCAGGTCTATACAGAGAAATATCTTGTTGGCTGGCTATAAAACCATTTTAGCACCACATTTCACTTTCTCTTGTCTGCACTTCTTACATGCAATTTGGTTATAGTGCAATAGTTTAAGACCAGCTTTGTTTCTCGTTAGGCCGTTTAAAGCAAATAGAGCTACAACAGAATAAAGATTTGGAAATGAAAAACTTTCTTGATTCTCCTTATGATCCAGTTAACATCGTGCATAATTGCTGCTTGTAGTTTATGATGTTTTTGCCTGCTTTGAACCTGAACTGGGCACACAAGGGGACACTTAACATTAACTAGAGAAACTTCTCTTATGTTTACAAGCATCATAGAACATTTTACATTGATTACATTACGGGCATGATTCTTGTTTTCATGGCTCTCTGGTAGTACACCAGCATCAAATTTCTTTACTCGAAACCAATGTCTGATGCTTTCGTTCATCATCTTCTGCAGGAGCATAATGTTCGGCCCCCACTCTCTGTGCAGCAAGGCCAACCACCCACCGGAAATCCTGTATGTTAAAACAATCTCCTGCGCATACCTCTTGATCCTAATCAGAATCAGTATACTTCATGTGATACAGTTAATTATTTATTTGGAAAGCTATTAACATACATGTCTATCAAGTGAGAGCTCTGTATTATTGTCGTTATAATGACGTGATTATGTAACCTGAGACAAATGTCTGCCAGTTTTTTGGAATAAATTGGTGCATGTAACTATAGGTAAACCAATTGTGAACCTAAACTTAGGATCGCTCAAATAATATTTTATTGATATGCAAAAGTCTAGGGTTCGTTCTCACATGCTTCTCGATCATGATAGAAGATAGCAATTTGACGATGCTAGATGTTGATTTCAGTTAAGTACGAAAAAAGAACGAAGATGTGGGAAATCATGAAAGGGTTACGGCCACAGTACGTGTTGATCCACAGCCACTAACTCCCTCCCCTGTGGCTTGCACGGCATGAGAGGATGAGCATGAGTACGTAGCGACACAGCCCACCACGAGCGTGCGCTGATGCTACCGCTTACTCATCGCCGGCCACTCCATCTTTCCCTGCGCACCAACGCGAGACTCGTCCACAAGATGGATTGCCAACAGCAGAATCCAACTCGGCCGGAAGAAAGAGCACGGCATAAATTCCACTCGTCGCCACATCTAACCGAGTCCAACCTGCGCCGGAGAAGGCAGACTTCTTCTCTCACATCACCGTCATCGGATCGCCTCGTCACTCCCACCACCATGAAGGGTTCGGGCGCCGTGACGATCGCGTCCACGGTGATCACCGCCGCCGCATCGTACTCGACCGCCGTGTCCGGCTCCTCCCTCCCCGACCCCCGGAAACAGCAATCGGCAGACCAGGTAACTTGCACGCGAGTCATGGTTCCCTACGAATCTTACGAAGCCTAGTCTCGCTTGTTGGTCGCGCAGGAAGAGCAGCGGCGGCGGTCATCGGAAGACAGATTCGCTCCCAGGTTCGATGGGTTGCGGTTCATAGAGACTCTCATCACCGCACATCGATGATCCATGACGACGACTGACGCAACCATCTACCCTATTCCTACATCATTTCATGGATGTAATGCTCGCAGTGATTCGTATCATTAGTTGGACATAATTGTATTTCTCTTTTTTTATGTACGGAACTGATTGCTGTTTCTTTTTTTTTTAATACCGGAAAAATACTTTTAATTTTTTTTTATTTTTGTCTTATTCTTATGTCCAAAAAAAAAAAAAATCTACATTAACTTTTACCCCAAAAAACACGACTGAAGCAGTGATTCATATCATTGTCTTATTATTTCTAATGTAAGATACCATCATCGCTACCGCTATCGATACATCCTTGTTCCTCCTCCACCGCTACCGCTATCGATACATCCTTCCTTGTTCCTCCACCACACTAACATATCACGTGTCGATACACTGATATAAAACGATAAATTATCGAAAGATCCGATAACCAAAAAGGCAAACACTGATCCCAATTAGACATTTAGAAAAGAATTCCCACAACCAGAGAAAACTTGGGATCAGTTAAAATGGAGGTCATTTGGGTGATCAAGGTTTCAACAATGCCTCCCAGAATATGTGGAAACTTCAGGAAGTTGAGGTAATGCAGTTATTGACATACGCACAAATAGCATGAATCTATAGTTACATTTAGATCAAGATCAAGGCATCAAACAAATCCTTCCAAATTAGCATAAACAGCATGTTTGTTGTTACATAGCAACTTAAACAAGCACAATTCAGTATCCAATTCAATGTGTGCTACCATCTTAAGAGAGAGATGAAAAGACCCCACTTGCCCAAGTTTACTGGCAGGAAATTGCAATCAACTTATGCATACTACTTGCAGAAATAAACCCTGAAGGACCTTGTACTCAGATGTGCAATCAAAAAGCAAAGTTTCATATCAATTCTTCTTCCTGTCCACATATCAGTAGCACCTCAGCTACCAAACAAGCATAGACACATTGCTCAAATTAATGAACAAATTATAAAAAATAGCAGCCCATGGGCCATAGTCCTAATATCATTCATGCAACATCAACCAGCATTTGGCTTACTCATGATGAATTCTAAGCACTCCACTAAATGGAGTATATCCAGAACAAAAACATGTCTGCTTAACCTTCACCAATCATACTGTAAACACACAATACAAAAGGACATGCAAAATAGAATACATTCGAAAGATGTTGAATGAGTATGAAACATGAGAGATAAACCAGCTGAGATGGACTACTCCAAGCAACAAAATGACTTGAGCAAAAATATGCATCTTAGTGATCCTACAAACTTTATACACTTAGTTTTGGATTTGTTATCTACAGTTGAGAACCAGTGAAAGCACAGACATGTCTACTAAAATTGTCATTTCATCAACAACCTCAGGATTGAAGTAAGCAGGCATGAGAGCAATAGAACAGCAGAATTGTGAGAATGAAATTATGCAACACATGGGTAATTCCAACCAGAACCAGCGCTACAGACAAAATAATTAGACAAAAACTTATAAGCTGAACCTTGCGTCGGTGATGGCTCTCCATGCCTAAAGGATACTAGATCAGTGTCTCCCTTCATCTTTTAGCTAGTAACCACATACCAAGCTTCATTAAATATACTGTAAAGTGTAAACACACAATGCAAAAGGACACACAAAACAGAGTACATTGGAAAGATGTTGAGAGATGATCTGAGATGGACTACTCCAAGCAGCAAAAATTCTTAAGCAAATATGCATGTCCACCAAACTTGTCATTTCATTAACAGCCTCAGTATTGAAGTTAGCATGCATGAGAGCAATAGAACAGCAGAATTGTGAGTATAAAATTATGCACACATGGGTAGATCCAATCAGAACCACTGCCACAGACAAAAGAATGAGAACAAAACTTATAAGCTGAACCTTGCATCAATTCTACTTCTCCATGCCTAAAGGATACTATACCAATGCAACCACATACCAAGATTCATCAAACATACTCAACTGTTATTTTCTTTATAGGTAAGTAAAACAGAAACATCATCATATCAGATTAAAAATCTTGTTCACACAAGCAGCCACCATCGCGGAATTATGAATATATAGCCATACAAGCATCCTCATAATTATTTTTATGTTATAACCCTATTCAAGAAGCAGATTTAGGCATCCAATTGATCAGGAAGGGAAGGGATCATCACCAAACAAGAAGAGGTAAAGGCAAAGGCGGACCAAAATCGATTCTTCCATCACTTAGATTTTGTCGATGTCCTCATCCTCGAACTCGATGTAGTCATCAGCAGCGCCCTCATCCTCCACGTCGAGGCCTCCGATGCCCTCGTTGAGACGGATGTTCTCGGGAAGCTCGCCGTACGCCTTGAGGAGGCGGGCCTCGTCGGGCATGTACTTGAAGATGACGTCGGCCTTGTCGTCCTGGTAGTCACGGAGTCCCAAGAGGATGATGTCCCCGGCGGCGATCCAGACCTTCTTGTGCATCTTGCCGCGGATGTGGCAGAGCCTCTTGCTTCCGTCGATGCACATGGCCTCGCAGCGCCCGTTGCCGAGCATCCGGAGGACCTGGGCGTACTCCTGCCCGTCCTCCTTGAAGACCAGCTCGCGCTTCTCGTCGTCGGCCTCGTTCTTCCCTCGCTTGCGGTTCTTCCCTCCCTTCCCCTTGTTCTTCGGCATCCTTGTTGTGCGTCGATCGAAACCCTAAACCTAGCGCTCGATCCTTTCGTTTCCTCGATCGGTATTTGTTTGGTGCTCCGAGATCGCGTAAGCGTCACGGAAACCTGAAGCCTTTGAGACCCTGCTTTTATAGCCGGGGTGGAGGTATATGTCGGTTAATCCAATCTTCGCACGAATCATAAAGCAAACCCACTATGACAACTAGCGGGCCCAAACAAAGATATAACGATGGCCCATGTTTTCTTCTCGAAAATGCATTTCACCCCTTCCATCTTGACCACATCACGTACCTGTCACGTAATTGTAAGGTGGGACCCAGAAATCTTCACGTTATGGCCAATCGAAACGATGGTACTGGTAGGGTAGTTGTAAACCAGTAGAGAAGTATTGCTTGGGAAATCAAATTTCGTCCTTCTATTTCATGATAATAACAGAAGGACTCCAAAATTTAGTGGGCAACCACATCAGTTATTCGTCAACCTTCTTTCTGAGGATATATCATTTATTATCTTCTCAATCAGGGACCTTTTTGTAGATGTTCCTTAAATATTTTCCCCACTCGGTCCTCGGCACCGTCCTCCGCGCAGTATCCCAACGTTAGCCTCAGGGGAGACCAAGATGCCGGAGGCGGGCGGCGGCACGGCGAACCGTGGAGGCGGAGCCGATGAGCCCGAGGACATCATCGATATCCTCCCTCTCGAGCTCGTCCGATCCCAGCTGATCCCTCCCGCTCCAAACCGCCGCGGGTCGGCGATCGATTGGCTGCCGGAATTTGGTGGCGCCGCGTGGATCGCATACGGCGCCTCCTCTCTTCTCGTCATTTCCCACTTTCCTTCTCCTCTCTCCGACCACGAACGCCAACTCGGCCCATTCTTCCGGCAGGTGATCGAGCCGCCGCCTGGAGGTGAGCCCGCCGATTTGAGTGCGGTCTCTTGGTGCCCAGCGATACCGTCAGAGGGAGAGATCGCGGCGGCATTGGGAAATAGCATCTTCGTGTACTTGCCGGTCCCCGGCGGCGAATCAGGTAAGAGGGAGTGTCTTTTCGGTTTCCTGACTATTAGAATCGAGAAAATTGGAGAGAGAAAAAGGACTGAGTGGAGAGAAACCAAGAAACTGATTTATCTCCACATGACTGTTTCTCTTTGAATCTGCTCGTTTCTTCTCTTCTTTCCTCGAGTGTTTTGGATCAAGAACTGATTAATTTCATTCCCAAAGTTTAAAGGTTCTAGATTTTCTTTGATTCTTGAATATTCAGATTGATTCTGATTACAACATATATGCCACATGATTTAATTGGGTATCTTATATTTGAATCTATTAGTCCTTTCCTAAGATGTTTGTGCCATTGCCTCTAGCTGTGCTTGGCATTTTGCTTTACTTCATCCAAAGGAGTCAAAGCGTTCTGAGTATGTAGGTGGGTTTGTACTTGCATATTTACTGTACCATCTGGGTTGATCCTGCTTCACGCACCCAGCCAGTTTTGTCTTTCAGGATTCTGGAGGTAACAACAATTGTTCTAGAAAGGTTCAGGATTAGCGCATTTCAATTGTTAGTCCTTTAGCATACTGTGGACTAAGTTCTTTTTGCTAGTGTTATAAGTAAAAAATGTCCAATAACTTGTTGCTATGTATTCATCGAATTGCTTGGAATTTTCTGTTTAGTTGACAAGCAGTGGCAGTCGGGGTTCTGTTAGCAGCAAAATAATTTCAACCATGGATAAAATTTCTGAAGGACTTTTACTTTTTTACCTGTTGTTGGTAACAAACCATAACTGAGCAACTGAAAATTTCAGGTTCCTTTTCTTGGAAGCAGACTGTGGGGTTTGTGGAGACATTTTCAATAGAGACAATTGGATGGACGGGGTCTGGTGATGGGCTAGTTGCTGCTGGTGCCGAAGTGGTCTTATGGAATAGGAAAAAGGGCTACTCTTGGGAAATGTCTTGGAAGTTGAAAGCAGAGGTGCCTCAAACTATTGTTTCTGCAACCCAGTTTGCTCAAGGGTCTGTGGCAACAGCTCCGCAAGCATTGATGCAGCATGACAAAGTTATATCCGGAGACCTTCATTCTTCAGTGTCAGACGAAACCAAGCATGTTCTAGTATATCATGATGATGGTAAATCGGGAATTACAAAAGTTCAGCTCTGTCATCCTCAACCTGTTTTGATGATTCAGTGGAGGCCATTTTCTGGGATGCAATTGCAAAAAGATGCTTTCCCTGCATGGAGGGACATGCTGTTGACTTGCTGCTTGGATGGAACAGTAAGATTGTGGAGTGAGATAGACAATGGTAGGCCTAGAAAATTCAATAAGGACATGCATGATCAGAAGCACATGAGGCGATTGTTCCATGTTGTTGCGGTGATTGAAATGAACCAGTCTTTGAAGGGAACACTTGGTAGAAACATATTTGTAAAATGGGCACTTGAACTTGGTGGTGTAATTGAAAAGGGTGAAGGAGATTGTTATTCTTTGTTATCATCTCATACTGAATGTGAGCAAATTGGCAAGTGTGAGTGGTTGATTGGTGTAGGGCCTAACTTCTCCATTACTTTATGGGCCATTCATTGTCTTGATGATGTGTCCCCTACACGGTTTCCACGGGTGACGATGTGGAAGAAAGCAGATTTGATAGATCTTAAAGGGTCTAACTTTCTCCATTGTAATTTTTCAGAGACAATGGGCCAACCTATCCTAGTAAAAGTTGTTGCTTCAAGGTGTCGGCTTTTTGGTCCACCTTCTTCATGCTCTTTGCTTCAATTATTGCCTGATAATTCAATCAGCTGGTCACAATTGTATAGTTCATCAGAAAATACAGAGGATGGAATTTTAAGTAAGATAACAAAGGAGAGAAGTCTTTCATGCTTTGCTGGCAGTGCTCTCAGTGAGCATCGGCACACTGGGCGCATCATACAAATTGCATTGCATCCATATAGTCGTGATATTGAACTTGCTGTTTCATTGGATTCCCATGGTTTACTTCTCTTCTGGTCCTTGTCTACTCTTTCAGAGAGCATCTTGGGTGTGCATACGCACATACATCCCATGTGGAAACTTATGGGTCATATAGATTTACCAGTTTCATCGCCTGATTGTAAATTTTCATGCTTGGTGTGGGCACCTTCAGTTTTGGAGGAGAACCGATTTCTTCTTGTGGGACATGAAGATGGAATTGATTGTTTCATGATTGAAGATTCCTTGAAAGGGGAAAGTATATTATCTCACAAAATTCTCACAATTCCATTTGGTGGTCAAACAAATGGAGCGAGTCCAGATCAAATGTTTGCAACACCTATTAGTTGCGGTGTTGGCCAATCATCTTGTTATAGTAGTTTCTCATTGCTTTGTGTATGGATTAGAAATTTTCAAACTTTATCATGGAAGGTCATCCTTCACATGTCCGGAACCAGTGGTATACTTTCCTCTGATGTCAAAGGACTTGCTATTTCGGAAGAAGGTAGATGCACAAGTTCTTCTGGTAAATTTTATTATGCCAATTCTTTTAGGCAGTCATCGAGCTTACCTACTCCCCAGTGTTGTGGTGAAGTTACCAGTGTTGCTGTAGTTTCTCCAAGTAGTTGTTTACCATCCATCCAACAAGCATCTTCTAATGATTTTCCTAGTAGTTATTTTGGATACCATATGGCCACAGGATATTCTGATGGAACTTTGAGACTATGGAGGGTTTGCCATGTGCAATCAGAACATTCTGATACGGAATATGTCCCATGGGAGTTAGCGGGTACATTTACTGCACATGAAGGTCCAGTCAACGCAGTCTCTTTAGCTAGTTTTGGCAGTAAAGTTGCTACCACCAGCATCTGTGGCCCTAACAGTACATCCAGTCTTCATATCTGGGAATCTGTAAAGTTGACAGGTGGTGGTTCTTTTGTTTTAGAAGATGCAATATTCTTAAAAGGGACTGTTGTTGCTCTTAGTTGGTTAGCTTTAGGCAATGGTCAGACATTGCTTGGAATCTGTCTGCCAATGGAGTTGCGTATATATTCACAGAAAAGATCCTCTATTCACTCTTTTGTACATTCAGATAAGTCAAAGGAGATCCATAGTTGGTATTGTATTGCAATCACTAGTTCTTTGACCATTGTAAGAGACTTCTTTTGGGGACCGAAGATGACTGCTGTGCTTGTTCACGAGAAACATTTTTCTGTCTACAGTCAGTGGTTATTCAGATCAAATAGTCCGTGCTGTGATGATTCTGTTGCCTATGTTAATCGAATGCAAGAAAACTTGTTCTGTGCAAGTGATACTGATAGAAACATCTTCAAGACACAAGAACAATTGAAAAGTGGGAGCAGTGGAAAGATTTTTCAGCAGGATTATGCTCCTGATACTAGAAATAGGTTATTTTCCATTCTAGATATATCAAATAAATTGGATGGAACTTTAGCACTGTATCATCCTGAGGCATTGATTCAATATATCTATTCAGGTACTGTTTCAGCTCATACAATATTTGACGTCATACAAGTTGTCATAGGCAACACATAAAAATATCATAGCCTTTGCTTTGCAACTTATGTTGGTTAAGGAACACTGAAAAACATATTATTGTCATGAAGGACAATCATCCAAATAGTCTGCAGCTTATGTTGTGAATGGACTGTCTATTTAGAAAGCAAGCAACACCATTTTCCCCTTGGGTGTGTTCTCATGAGTCATGATCACCAGTCGACCAAACCTGTTTATGCATAAATAGTTCTAATTTATTGGTTTTCTATTGTTAGCCAGTACCTCGGAAGGATTTATAACATTATCTTATGAAAATTGGCCTTTGGTTTTCAAATATTAAATTTGAACTGTTTTTGATGCTTACTACAGTCATTGTATTTTGCCTACTAACAAAGTATCCATGTCCAGATAAATGTAACATGGTCTTGATGGTTTGAAATCACTGTACAGAAGAATTAAACTCCATCAGTCACTCAATTTTATGATGATACTTCCCTTAATCTACCCCATCTGACTAGTTGGTGGAAGATGTCTAGATGATGGAAAAAGTAGTGCTGCAGGGAAGTAGCCATTAACTTCTGAAGGAGACTCTTGCAAACCTGGAAATGATTGTTATTTCTGGAAAGAAGAGACGTATTGATCTATGTAGCAACAGTAGCATAGTCATCCTACTTCATCCGATGCTATAGTTTGCTATATGCTATTCATGATCGTTTTCTCTTGGTGACGTAGCATCATATTATGCAGCATTAGAATTTTAGAGGCTTGATCATGCTCAATCCATTGCCTATTTGATTCTGACCACAATATTATTGCCTTGTTCATCAGTAGTTTTACTTTAGTTGGACAGTTGTCGATACTTCTCTTAAAGCGGAACAGAAAACAAATACACAAGGACATATTCATTGGATACACAAGAGTTGTTTTCACCATTTGAGCACTATAAACTTAAGTAGAATTGGGTATGCATGGCAATGGGGTTATAGTTCTGCAATCTGTTAGTGGCTTAACATTTGAATTATAAGTTCCTTTTGCTAATTTTTCACTTTTAGTCATCATCAAGCTCTAAGCTGACCAGACAAATGGGAAATCTTCTGTAACTTGGAACAATTTGTTCATTATCTACAAAGTGCTTTCTCAGTCCTTCCAAGTTTGATTCTGTATCAGACCACAGCTATATTAAGGGATTATAATCTATTTCAGTATTACCTCTACTTATGTGCCATTAATATGAATCCTACTTTATCTTGTCATATTTCTTCTGTTTCCTTATTCATTGCAAGATATCAATACCTTTATTTTTCCTTAGGTCATGTGTGCTCACCAGCTTCGTCCTCATTTTGTATGTTGTTAATACGGTTAACTTTCTTTCTCAAGTCTCACTTAAATGGTATGTCCCTAAATTGCCGAAAATGGTGCCCGCCAGGAAATCAGAAAAAATAATTTACTCAAAATTTATTTTCCTGATCTGATCCTAGCTTCATTGCCATAGGTTCTGTGAGAATATTCTGTTATTAATATTGATTATTATTTTTCGAGGCATATACTCATGGAAAAGGATATTATACAAAAAATTATAATGCATAAGGAATCAGTGAATATCATTTAGTTTGTATTGGTCTTGGATTATTAAATTTGTGCTGAGAATATTATACGTATATATAGATATTAATTTGACATTAAAAAACTATAATGCTATTAATAATCTGGTTTTATGCTTTTCTCTGTTTCATCTAGTTTTATTGTGGTGACATTGAGCATTAGGCCATGACTAACTCCTGCCTGAGCTTCAAAGGTTTCACTTGTAAGATGTTGTTCATACTTCATACTACTGTTGAAACAATGATCACTTGTTGCAGGTAACTGGAAACGTGCAAAAGTTATTGTGAAACATTTTGTTAAATGTGTTAGTTGTAGTAAAACTTCATCTTCCATTATGAAGGGCAATCAATGTGGAAAATCTTCCTATAATGTGCCTGAAGTTCACTTGTCTACATACTTTGAGGATAATAACTCTGTAAATTCATCCAGTGAAAGGTTATTTTGGGGTCAGGGTACTACTTCAGAAGAACCTACTTTGCATTTTCAAGGAAACAGTCTCCAGTTGCTAGACAGTAAATTAGAGGCTAACACTTTTGGGAGAATTTCAACTGCTGATGAAAAATCTGAAATCATGGATCTCATTGAAACTCTTGAGAAATCTGATGGAATTGCTGGTATGACAGATTTGGAGAAAACCCAAATACTTGTGATTCTTGATCTTCTGAATGAAATCAGTGATGCAAGAGCTACTTCAGCCTATAAAAGCCTTGATGAAGCCGGGCGTAGGTATGTTCAAATAAAAAGAGTAGAAGTGATTTTCTAAGATATCAAATTTATTCTTATACTTTGTGAAGTGTCTACCTTGTATGTACAAATACAAATACGAAGTCACTGATTTTGGGATTGTTTGTCATAATATTAACAATGTTTTTTTATTTCTCCAAAGGTTCTGGGTTTCTGTGCGATTTCAACATCTATATTTCATTCGTAAGTTTGGAAAGATGGTTGCTGAAGAGCTTGTCATCAACTCTAGGTTGGCTGCATGGGCCCTCCTATCTGATTGTCAAGATGATCTGCTTAGTTCTATTTTATCCACGGAGCCATCTTGGTTAGAAATGAGAAATTTGGGTATAGGGTTATGGTATACAAATGTGTCACAGCTGCGAACAAGGGTATATTACTTAATTCCAAACTGTCATGTCAGATTGATTGCTTGGTCTTACATTATCTATTTAGCATAATTCTGCAGTTACTATTTATAAACATCATAGATCTGCAGCTTTTGTAATCTCACATTGCTATGAAACAAAATACTAGTATTCAAACTAATTGTACCACTGAAATCATTCTTTCGACCTAAAAATGCAGCTCTTTTGATTATGTGGGTTGTTGAATATTATTGAACAAGTTGGTCCATTGTTTTATAGTGTGCCATCCCTTTACTGAATTTCTGGGCATGTGTTTATATTCTGATAATGTTATGTAACTTTCTGGAAATTCTGTTTGATTGTTCATTTTAATTGCTTTCATTCTTTTGCATAATCATGCTCCAGATCTTCCTGACTAACATAATATATTTGACCATATAGATGGAGAAGCTGGCAAGATCGCAATATCTGAAAAACAAGAACCCTAAGGACTGTGCACTTTTGTATTTAGCACTCAACAGGCTTCAAGTTTTGGCTGGTCTTTTCAAAATTAGCAAAGATGAGAAAGACAAAGTTTTGTTTGGATTTCTTTCACGTAATTTCCAGGTTTGTCAGTGTAATTGTGCATAATTTACTCCTTTTTGCTCTAGGGCATTTTGTGAAGTTTGCAAGCACTTATGTAGTATCTTATTTTGCATTAAAAATGACATTTTGGGGGCATGGATCTTCCAAGTTCCAAGTTTGTTTTATAAAAGCTGATATATTATGCTCATGTGGAAAGTGGTGCAAAACATTGTACTGCCTTTTTGAGAGTGCATTTTCACTGATTTAGGAAGAGAAGAACAAAGCTGCTGCTCTGAAGAATGCTTATGTTTTGATGGGAAGACATCAATTGGAGCTCGCAATAGCTTTTTTTCTGCTAGGTGGAGATCCTTCCTCTGCTGTCACTGTTTGTGCTAAGAACCTTGGGGATGAACAACTAGCTCTTGTTATTTGTCGGCTCATTGAAGGTTATGGTGGTCCATTGGAGAGGCAACTCATATTAAGCATCTTGCTTCCCAATGCATTAGAGAAAGGTGACTACTGGCTTTCCAGCCTACTTGAGGTATGTGTTATATAAGCATTCTAGTTTTTATTTTCTCATTCTCCCAGAAATTTCCAATTGTTTCTATGTCAAAATTCTATAGCCTGTTAATGCTAACATAATTTTGCATGGTCAGTGGACATTGGGGAATTACTCACAATCAGTCAAGAGACTAGTTGATTTTCGGACAAAACATGTCAGCTGTAATTTAGTTGCTTTGCACAATCATGCTTTCTTATCTGATCCTGATATTGGTCGGTACTGTATGATACTTGCCACCCGAAATAGTTTCAGATGTTCTGTTGGTGAGAATGTCGCAGCAGCCTTTTCTAAGCTTGCAGCATTTTTGGCTGCAAGTGCCTTGAACAGATGTGGAATCCCTGTAAGTTCTATCTAAGTTGGATTTGCATATTCATTTTGTCTGTTCAAATTGTGTTGCTGAATTAGTAACTCTTCTTTCTACAACTTATTTGTATCATTTATGCATCTGCTGTATCTGATATGGGACATATGTTGTGATTAACTTTGGATATTGGATTCAGTTTGTGACGAATCTAATATATTTTCATCTCTCCAAGCAAACACAGAATCACAGATACAGTTCTTTCTCGCTCATTGATTCAGATTTTGAACATGAGCCTTCTGTAGTTGACGAAATCATTTTGGAAGTCGAAATTCAATATCTTATCTTATCAAACATTTTCCACTCTTTTCAAATTCTGACAATTGATTAAATTCTATGGATTTGTGAAACTGTTGCAGTATTGAAGTATTAACCTAACCAGGCTTGATCAAATGTTTATAGTCAGTATATTGTTGATGTCTCATTCTATCTGAGCTAATCCTGGATTTCAGGGCCTGTGGCGGATTTGCTAGGTCCAGAATAGATTCGGTAGAATGTGCACTTTTTATCTGTCTTTTGATGCCGAGGAAAATTAATACACCTAACTTGTACATAACTCCTGCGGTTTACGTGAAAATGATGAATATTTTGGAGATTTGAGACTAGCAATATATGGCCAAGTCACGAAATTGTAGTAGGCTAATGGTTTCTCCTGTCAATACATCACAATTAGTTAGAAGGGTTTGATTATAGTGAATTGACATGGGAACTAAAATGATATCTCATTATTTTGCTGTTATAAAAGATAGTTTTAGGTGAAAGATCATTACAGGCTAATAATTCACTAGATTGTAAATAAGGTTTATTTTTCTTGTAATATTTTGATGAAAGATGTTCCTACTGAACTTGTAAATGTTATAAAGCTCTGTGAACTTTTATGATAAGATATTTGGATAGTCCCCAGTTTTGTTGCACTATTATGTGATATAATTTCTTCTTTGAAATGATTTATCAAACTGCGCATATGTAAAACAAAAAGAAAAGGTTACTGGAATTTGGGAACTTCCCTAGATACTCTGTGATATCTTCTAATCAGGAATCAGTTGTTTGGTGATTGCTTTTATCTTTATTGCTCGAGTTGTTTTGTGCTTAATAGCTTATGAGAGAAAACATGATTTTGGTCATTGAGGCTGATAAAGTGTCTTTTTGTTTGTCTAAGCTTGATGCACTTGAATGCTTGTCATCTTCTTTAAGCATTGAAGGTATGGACCACAAGAATATGTCAGGTGTTGAAAATCATGATCTTTTTCAAGGAATACTGAATCCATTCTCTAGTGATGCTTGCAACTGGCTACTAGAAAGTGTGGCCCATCAGTTGGAGCTGGATGTTAAACTAAATATGGCATTACGATACATATCAAGCTACTTGAGAAATCACCCAAGATGGCCATCCATTAACCTATCAAAATCCAGAAAAGTAATTAGCTCTGACTATGTTGCTTATCAAGATGAGGAGTTTCAGCAGCTGAAGCTTGATCTGGGCATGATAATATCAATGTTTGACAGGAAATTCTCACTGAGGCCAGTTGGCTTAGCTAACATGGTAATTTGATATATTACCAAGACAGTTTTCTTTTGCTTTTTCTTTCTTCTTTGATCTGTAATATTTACATCTTCAAGTTTCACATCAACTAATGACATTTAAAGGTATGTCTCTCATGACAGTAAAATTGTGATTTGCCTATGCAGGTACTACTTTTTGCCGACAACAAGGGATTGATTTTTCTTGGTTACCTGCTCTTGTATGTCAATAATTCTCTAGAAGGTGAAGATAATCACCGTACTCTTGACATGGTTTTGGATCCTGCTTTGATCAGGCTTCTGTTTAAGGCCACCGAGGAGATCTTATGTTTTCTGGCTCGGTTTGTTGTGTCGATCAATTTTACTTATTCAATGCTGAATCCAGTTTGTGACAGTAACACGAAATCTAGAGAGTATAGTCATGATCAGCTACTTAGTGTGTTTTGTTTGCAGAACATGTTATACTTGATCAATATTTTCAGGCTAATCTTTAGTTGTCAGAAAAAAATTGTTCCAGAAGATCTCACTTTGTGGTCTTTGGTTTTTGATCTTCTTGAATTTTATGTAAACTTTGCTTCTGCATGCATTAGAAGAAATATTAAAGAACTGATTCTGATGATTCATCCTATTGTAAATGCATTTATCAATGATGAGGTCTCTTTTGAAGTTGCATATGGGAAACTGAGGGAACTTTCACGTCAGACTTCACTATTGGTTCATGATGCATCAAATGATGAGGTTGGATTCATTTCTGACTCTGGATTTCAACAAAAACATTCAGAAGTACGTGAGTCTTCAATTCCAGAAGATGAAAGGTGGCAAATATTAGGGGTTTGTTTATGGTTGCACATGTTGAACTTTACAAAGCTTGGACTAAGCAAGTTTCCAGCGAATGAAGAGTGTTACGATGTTAGAAGTATAAAAAATGTGATCGATACATTTCCTTTTGCTAGTGCAAATTCACTAGTAAATGCACTCAGATATGTCTCCTCTTCTTTGGTAAAACTACTCGCTTCATTCCTTAAACAGAAAGCATTGAAAGGTTCACCAGTTAATAGTATTGTTTGGTTGGATGAATGTGCTCGCTCCCATCCGTGCTCATTACAGAATTGTCTAAATCAGGGACTTGATTCTTTGCAACTGCCTGACAATGAGCAGCAGCCATCTTTGAAGATATTGTGGGATGTTTCTGTCAGTCCTTCTGAAATATGTGCATATTTTGCTAAAGAAAAAGTTGGCTCTTTTCCCTGTAATCATCAGAATCAGTTTGCTTCCTGGAAAGATGTGCAGAGGAATATTTCCTCTGAGAATGAGAATGCTGATTCTTTGGACAATAGAGAGGGAGAAAAGATTGGTGGTAATGGTCTTTATAAAGAAACCAAATCAGGACATGATGGTACAGTTTTGGACAAGGATATTTTTCTTGAAACAAATAGGAAACACTTAGGTCCCAGGGGAGATGTTACTTTCTTCAACAACCCAAAAGAAGTTATGAAGAGAAGTGGGGAACTTTTTGAGGTATATTTTTCTTTGCTAAATCTTTTCTCCCAAAGAGCACAGAACATAATATCTGCAAGTTAAGCATCATGGTTATAAAAGCAGGTTAAAAATGTTCTTTTCGATGCAGGCTATATGCTTTAACTCCATCAATGAGAATGAAGTTGCACTTGCAAGCAACAAAAAGGTAACTTCTTCCTTGCATATAAAGCATGATTTGTGATCTGTCTTGTGAAAGGAGAATTCTAGAACCTAAAAATTTGTTCTTATTTATGGCTATATTCTCTGTGAAGATTTGTTTGATTATGGCATGACACAATTTTTTACTTTTATGAGTATTATAACTTGTAGAACTGGGTTTTTCTTCCTGGTAATGAAGAACCCTGCTTTTGTGTTTTAACAAATACTATGTAGAAAAATCAGATGCCCACTGCTTAATGTCCATTGACTTGGTTGTTGGCTATGTTAACCCCAATGAAAAATCAATCCATCAAGATCGACAAGTGCTGAAGCTTTTTTATTTTACTGGTTCTTTTTCAACTATAATCCTATAATCTGGAGTCTGGAATATATCACTTCATGTTGGACAAAAGTTGATGACTGTCAATTTTCTTCTGATTTTTCTTTAATGCATGCATTTGTCACATGGATTTGACCTGTTTACTTGTGTGATGTGTCCACGTTACCAATTTTCTAGACCGAAATTCTCCTATAGTACATAGAAAAGAATTAGCTTACTATCAAAACTTCAGCAGCTTTAGTACATAGAAATTCTTTACTAGTCCAACCAAGTTCCAGCACACAGACTTTCTAATTTCGCTCAGTCCGGCTCCAAGTTGAGCTTACCATCTGGTATTCATACCACACCATGGTGGTAGACTACTACCCGTTACCTCTTTCATTCTTTTTTTTGTCTTTTACTTCTCCTCCTCCTCCTCTACCCCCTCTTCCTCCTCCTCTGCCTTTTTCTTTCCCTATATTGGTTCTCCTCTTTCTGCTTCCTTCTCCTCTCCTCTTCTTTCTATTTGGTCTGTCATTTGTGTTGACTACTATGCCAGCATACGGTGTGCCAATATGCAATATTCCAGTATGTACCATACCAGTCTTGTCAACAATCAGTATGGATCTTGGACCAAAACTTAAAACCTTGCTCTTTTGTTCAAGACATATTTGTTCCCTCGGAGTAATATAATATTTTTTTAAGGACTTATAGAGGATACACGCTTGTCATTATTCAATTTGTGGATAGGTGGATCTTTGGGAAATTTGGGGTGTCTTTCAAGATTTTAGTAAATGAATATTGTTGAATCTTTTGCTCCCTCACTCCCCTTTGTGTTTCAATATCTTTAACCTTCACACCCTTTCATATGAGTGTTGTCATATACTCTTCCTGAATATGGCTCAACACCTCTATGCATACTATGTGTGTCACTCTGTGGGCCCTGATGAATTGGTAATGGGAGATTGTAGAGCATAACCCAAAATTTCTTTGGCACATTTGGCAATATTTTGTGACTAACCATCAAGTTCATGTCTTTTAGCTGAGGCACAATTTGGCGCAAAAGAGAAATACCAGAATGTAAACAGCTAGTTATTGGATAGAAATTTATACCTTGTTTTCTCCAGTTTAGGCTCATGTAATTATGGAGTAATGCTCCAAAACTTGCTGTATACATGTGAAAAGGGGCATGAAATAAATCATTTTGCAAACTTCAGTGGATTGGAGTAATACTGTAAAACAACAACAGAAATTTACATTTGACGAGATGGTGCAGATGGGGTGGAAGTAATTCCCTGTAAATGCCCGTATCCTGGTTAAGTGGATTGCAGTTATTCCTGTATACTTAAGTTCTTGGTAATATATGTAACTCAAAAATTACAAAAATATAGCATTTCTGTTAGATCTACAATTACTTGTCAGTATCACAGGCCTTCATCCTTACTTAAAATGGTCTGCATGTTTATTCATGTCATACAGATATTTCCTTTCTTCTTTTGGGTTATGATACATGATTTAGGTGGTTCCAAATTGCGGATCTCGGCGTTGGCTGTATTGTTGTACACTTGTACTTACTGTGTCAGCAACTATTCATCGAGTGTCAAGGGTGCATCATGTGTTCTGTTCATGAAGAACTGGCAACATGCATTCTAGCTAGTTTAGGCACAGGAGAACATGGCATTAGTGGTATCTATTATGTACTGTTCTATTGGCTGTCACTGTACAATCAGTCATGGGTAAGATATGTGGCACCAAAAGCATTCTGATCCTTTGAATTATATTGTACTTTTATTTTTGAAGATTGATAGTATGAAATAATTGATATTAGAAATATTGGAAATTATGTCTGTGGTTTCATTATTTTTATTTTGGTGATATCTTGACACCTCATTGTTTATGGTTATTATACCAATTAACTGGTTATTTTTAGGGGCTCATTTTCTTCAACTTGGAAGATAAGGAACATTTCAGGCAACAAGCAGAGTATATCTGGTCAGTTTCTGATTGGCCACAAGATGGGTGGGCTGGTTGTGAATCTACACCTGTTCCTACATATGTTTCTCAGGGCATTGGCCTTGGGAACAAAAGAGGGGCACACCTTGGTTTGGGTGGTGCGACAATTGGCGTAGGCTCTTTGGCAAGACCAGGAAAAGACCTGACTGGTGGTGGAGCATTTGGAATACCAGGTTATGCTGGTATTGGAGCTGTAGGTTTAGGATGGGGAGAAGAAGAAGATTTTGAGGAGTTTAGAGATCCTCCAGCTACAGTTGAAAACATTCACTCACGAGCATTATCACGTCATCCCTCGATGCCTTTCCTTTTAGTTGGATCTAGCAACACACATGTCTACCTCTGGGAGGTAATAATTTTCTTTGATAATGCCAAATTATCTGTTGTGTTATTTGATTCGGATATTTTGAAGAGAACTTTTTATTAATCAAGTTCTTAAACTTGTAAAGACACTGATAGTAGTATCAGTGAAAATTTCAAGTTTATCCTGTCAAAGTTCTTTTTGGTACTACCGATGCTCTATCACCAAGTTAAAAAAAAATTATTTGCAGCATCTTCACTGGCATATTCCTTCTTATAACTTGGATTTTATGATTAAAATATGTTTCCTTCCTGACAAATGGTGATAGAATCTATTAATACAAACTAGAAAGCAAGGATTGAAATTTCGTACCATACCAAAATTTCGAGACATATTCGGTATGGTACGGTACTGTATACTGAGCGATATATTTTGATATACCACTCGGTATATATATATATATATATATATATATATATATATATATATATATATATAGAGGTAAACTCGAGCGACGTCGCAGATTAAAAAAAAAATTGCGACATCGCCCGTGGCGACATCACCTCTCTTCTCGGGCGACGTTGTCGAGGCGACGTCGTAGATAAAAAAAAAATGACGTCGCAGATTAAAAAAAAATTGCGACATCGCCGAGGCGACGTCGCTCGAGAAGAGAAGAAAAAAAAATCTTCGCCTCTCTCCGCCCCGCGATGCCGATGCCTCTTCTCCCGCGCACGGATGAGAAGTCGCCAATAGACGAAGAGGAGAGCGGCAATCTCCAGGTTCTCCCTTTCTTTTGCTATTTCTTTCTTCCCCTTCTCCCTCTTCTTTCTTCTCCCTCGATCACCGTTGACGATACCGCTTGGTAGCGAGCGGTCCGTTTGTCGGTCTGCTGATGGACCAGTACGAACCGTCTGGTACGGGCTGTATCATTCGGTATTGCAGGCTTTGCTGGAAAGTATTTAATTTAAGTTCCACAAGTTGTCTCTGCCTTGGTTTGGATTAATATTGATCCATCAGAGTTGGATTCTTATGAAAAATACATTAAATTCCTTATTATATATGGCTAATTGTGACTCATCGGATGCTTTATCTTGTAAGTAATTTCTGTACATATGTTTTGTAGCCTATGTAATCATTTTGGTTAGAGAGAAATATGAAATTCTACATAAATATGTTGACGTACTCATTGCTATTTGTTATGGTTACTCATTGATCCATTAGATTTTTTTTCCTTGTATTTTCGTATGCATGATATTTAGCATTGCTATTTATATATATGTTTTCATCTATATTCATCTACGTGCATCATAAGTTTCTTCATTTTTTTTTTTCAGAATCTTTGCATTGTTTCTATTTTTGTGCTCTTGCTTTGGGGTTTCAATCATCTTTCCAAATTGCAACTTTTACGAAATACAAAATTTGTTTAATTGTTCATAGCCTCTGTATTCTGCCTCTCCTCTCTATTTCTTCTTGTCTTTTGATTTAATAATCATGTGACTCTATGATAGATTCAGTTTCATCCTCTCCTTATAAAGGGAAAAAATATGGGTAGAATAGTAAAATTCAAAATGTGTATTCTGGATGGGTTTGATGGAGTCGAAGGGCACTTATGGAGTATTATATGTCTTACTATCTTTGACGAGGTCACAAAATCCAAGGTTTTTAATCTAGTATTGTATTGGTGTACTGAGCCTTGCTCGGTACGGTACGTACTGATGTACCGAGCGGTTTGCCAGGGCATATTGAGTGGAGAACACGAAGCAACTTAGGGTTTTTGTATTTGATCGTGGACACAGAGGAGAAAAACTCCCCCCACCGACGGGCGAAGTGCCTTGGGGTTGACTGGCGCATGCACGAGGGGGAGTGGCGGAGAGGGAAGGCTTCCGGAAAGGGAAAGTTCTCATGGCCCTCCAACGCGACCTTCATAGGAGAGCTCCGTTCCAATCGGATAGAAGGCTTCGGGACCTTCACCGAGTTGGAGGGCAACGCTTGCCTTAGCGACACAGAGCACAAGTTTAGATACAAGTGGTACACCAATGACAACTATCATGAGGGCGGCTAGTGGTGCAACCTACAGGAGGGTTGCGACCGATACGTGTGGCGGAGTGGAAACCAGTACATTAGTGAGTGGCCGAATGACGTAATATCCGACCGTGGGGCGCTCACCTGGGCTAATGGCAATCACTACGATGGCCATTGGGAGAATGTTGTGCCGAAGGGGAGGGGCGTGTAAGCTTGGTTGGACGACAACTGCTTTATAACGCCCGGTACAGGTTGGTAACAATCGAAATTTTGATCGTTACCACCTGGTACATTCCCGTATCACCTGATATAGGGCCAAAAACCTTATACCGCCTGGTAGCAAGTTGTCCACGTGCCGGTCTATTGCCGAACCGGTACATGTACACAATTAAAAACCCTGGAAAAATCTAGTGGATATTAGATTGTTGAGGTTGACGGTATAAAGCGTGGATAAGGCTTGGAATAATTTGTTTATGGGTGCAGTATAAGTTCTTCTAAGCACAAGTTCTGTAAATTGATTAAAATGATGGTCACTGTCTTCAGAATCAAGTGGAAGACTTGTTCGAAGAACTTGGTCAACAAAGGGTAAATTCATAAAAAGATGGACAAGATGGTTTTGATAGTTTTGATGATTTTTTTATGGTATTAATTTTAATAATTCTTCTTCCCAGTTTATTTGTCAATTTGAATAGGTAGAAGTATTATATGTAAAATAAGAGCAGGATACAGTGTTGCTTAAATAATTGGTCGACTATCAATATCTGAGGCTTATTTGTAAATATTTTATGACAGTATAGGTTTGTTTGAAGTCTAGTAGATTCTTTACTAGCTACATAGGTGAGCCAAAATTTACTTTCTGAATTGTAATAGTTTCAAAAGAGATTATGTTTTGACCTGGGGAATTCAATTATTCCCTAGTGACTTGGTTTGGTTCCATAATGTCAGGTAAAACACATACATGTGGACCTATTTTTAATGCTTGAATTATTCTGTTCTCATGTTTTGAAATTTATCTTGTCTAATTATTGATAATATTTACTTTCTCATGTTTTGATATTTATCTTGTCTAATTATTTATAATATTTACATGCATTTTGTATGATAGCATAAATAATACTATACAAACCTTTTATTTCTATGGGGTTTTTCATGTCTATCCCTTCAAAGTTTGGAAATACATATTTGCTCCTCCAAATTTTAATATTTCACTTATATCACATCAAAAATGTATATTTTTCGTACATGACCATCTAAATATTTAAATATTTTATATATGTCACTTCTGTTAACAATTCCTCCAATAAATTCAAGTTAATTACTATTAATCATGGTTATCATTGATTTTTTTTTAAGTAAAATTTTAAATAACTAAAATATCCTTTATTTCTTTCTTTAATTATTTGATCTCTCATGTTCCTCAACATTTTGAAGGGAATATTAATGTCACTTTGTGAATGCCATTATGCTAACGGTCAATTGGCAGATATTATGTCATTTGGAAGATTTGAGCTTTGCAAGTATACATATGCTAAACTTGAATTGAGAGGGGCAAATAGGAAAATCATAAACTTACTTGCTTTGCTAATATTGCATTTTCCAGTTTGGGAAAGACAGAGCTACAGCAACCTATGGTGTGCTTCCTGCAGCTAATGTGCCACCTCCTTATGCACTTGCATCAATATCTGCATTACAATTTGATCACTATGGGCACAGATTTGCTACTGCTGCATTAGATGGCACAGTATGCACATGGCAACTTGAGGTGGGAGGGAAGAGCAATGTACACCCCACAGATTCTTCCCTCTGCTTTAGCAATCATGCATCGTATGTACCTCCTGTTCTAGGCAAATTTTTTCCAGTACTATGAAAATCAATATGAACATTGCATCATTCTTTCTGATTTTAATTGATGGGTTGAAACTGTTCCCAGGGATGTTGCATATGTGGCCACTAGTGGGTCAATTCTTGCTGCTGCTGGGTGTAGCACAAATGGTGTCAATGTTGTTTTATGGGATACTATGGCCCCGCCTGCCACATGCCAAGCTTCTCTATTTTGTCATGAAGGTATAGCCCAAGTTGGTATTTCAAAAACATTAACTTTATCTAAACCTAGATGTGAAAGCTTATTGTTATCAGGGTACAAGAAGAGTATCATGCAAGGTTATTAATATGGGCCTCTCACCTTCTATCTAAACCTAATTAATAGGAGACAGTCAAATGCATACAAATTTGAAAACTTATTCTAAATTTCTTATTCGGGTACAAGAAGAGCAGCATGTGAGGTTCTAAATTTCGATCTATAGTTGTGACAACTCATAACTTCATATAGGAGCAACTTTCCTCTTGGTTGCTACATGCCTATTATGTCATGGTACTATTTTATAGGTTTTCTTCCTAATTTATATGTTATGTATAATCCTGTCATGTAAATCATCCTGGTTTGTAGCATTTGTAAGTATCATTTCAGATCTTGATGATCGGCATATATGGTGTTTGCACTTTGTACTACTCTTTCAGTCTTATTAACTATGTAGTTAACAGTTGTGGACTTGGTAGTTGGTACTACTGATGGGTAAAGATTAGGCAGATCAGATATCTGGTCACAAAAGCCTTGACACAAAATAACCAAAGAGATACGAATACCAAAAGCAAGTTGCTCATCTAGTCGGCCAGTTGTGTGACAAACTGGCTCTTTTGCCTACCTAGATGGGATCTCTCTCTGGCCTATATCAGGCACTCATTCCTATATATTGATAGAAAGACCTTTGTCAAATACTGGATGTAGGGATCTTATTTTCGATGCTGTTTACTTCTATACCTACTGCTATATAAACTTTCAAACTTTAACTGCACAAGAGCTATATCTTAATTTACTGACCAGATAAACTTTTCACATGTAAGACATACCTTCATAATCAAAACAATTCAGATGTATTTGAGACTGTGCTGAACTGTTGAAGCTGCAGAAACCTATTCGCTGATAGCCACAGTGGAATTATATAGCGATTTAAAAAGGTGCTCGGGCGCTCGCTTAGGCGCTCGGGCGAGGCGAGGCGAGTCCCGAGCGCCTCGCTTCACTTCCAGGCAGTGCGCTTCAAAGAGGTGCCGCTTGGGCGCTCGCCCGAGCCCAGGCGTTGGGCGCTTCGAGCGAGCGCTTGGGTTAAACCAGGCGACCGAACCAGGATTTTAGGTCTGGTTCGGTCTCCGGTGTTTTAGTTGGTTCAATCGAACCAACTAAAACCGATATCAGCTGTCGTTGCCCAACCCTAACTCTGCTCATTGTCGCTCCCGCTTCTCGCTACTGTTGCCGCTTGCCGCTCCCGCTGCCTCGTTACACTCCCGCTGTCGCTGCCTCCTTACACTCCCGCTCCCGTTGTCATTGCCGCTGCCGCTGCCGCTTCCTCTTTTCTCAGTCAGCACCCCCTTACACTCCTCTTATTTCTTCTCCTTCTGTATACTGTTAACAGTATACTGTATACAGTTAACAGTATACTAATAATAATATTTGAATTTAGAAACTTTTTGTTAATGTGACATTATGATTTTGTATCTTAGATTTTCTTAATTTAATAACATATTTTTATTTAAATTTTTAAATAATTATATTTATTAATTATATTATATATTTTTATATTTTAGCTCCTCGCTTCGTTCGGGCGAGCGCCTAGCGCCTCGGGCGTTTTTGGACCTTAGCGCCTTTTGGCGCCTAGCGCTTTTTAAATCACTAGAATTATAATCCCATTTCAATTTTGATTTTGCACATATCCTCATGTGACACTTTGAACTTGATTGCCAGTAATTTGCAGCTAGAATATTTAACTCTTGGTTAATTAATCATCCAAAACATTTCTTCATATTTCCCTTATTGTTGGAAAATCTGCATGAAAAAGCAAAGTGATGTGTTATCATGAGGAGTGATTTTCATTCCCTATCTCCAGTTTATTATTCTTTCAATCTTTTGTATCAGCTTAGTCACTAGTTATCATGAGAAACATACCGTAATTAAACCTCATGTGCAACTTAATTGATTGTAACTGTTCTTCCTGCAAACTGTTCTTGCATTCTATTATTGCAGAATGTCAAAATTGTCTTTATTTTGACCAATTTTTAAATATGCATACTTATCGACATTTCTTGAACTATTTTCCTAACAAGTTTGCTTTAATATTTTATGGTAGTTTATATTATCAGATACCATGGCATTTTCTTTTCCATCTGCAGTTTCTTGGATTACTTCAAGGTGTTTTCTTAATTTTTCCCACGTTTCTTTCAGTTATTTGCAGTGAAATCATGAAAAATGTACATGTTCAACATCAACTTTTGCTGACAGCGTTTCATTTTTAGACATCCTTTTGTGCATCTTACTACATGAAGTTCCAAATAAATAACTGGACTTCTGAGCTTTCATGAATCTTTTGTTTTGTTGAGAAGTATCCTTTGGTAACCAGATATCCTTTTCATATTTGTTCATCCTTTGGTATCAATAATTTCATTTACTAGTAGGTTAGGTGATGAAAATCATCAACTTAGCAACCATACACCTCGATAGTTAAAGAGTTATGATACATATGGAATGCAAATTGACACCCTCCAACGAATTGAAATAAGATGAATCGTTCAAGATTGAAGTAAGGGAAACTATTCTAATCACTTTATCAATGAAAAATTGATAAAATAATTAGAACAATACTTTGATTCCCTTAAAACACTACAAACTAAGAAGTTTAATAAGTTGAAAGGAAAAGCAAAGATTTTTGGGTTTTGAACGTCACAAGCAGAAAGCTTGATAAGTTCCAAGGTTCATGCAAGAACTTAAAAACAAAATACTCACCAATATTGAAAGATGATTATAATTCTAAATTACCTTCTTACATAGGAAGTCAGCCTTATTTATATAATACAAAGGCCAAGTATAAAGGAAATGAATCCATTAAATACATTAAATGACATTCATATTCTTAATTCATGAATGTAGATCACTCATTAATCTGCCTTGAATTTATTTAAATGATCATTCATGAATAAGCTTACAATTCCTAAGATGGTCCAACATGGCTGAATGACCTTTATTCTTTAAAATGGGCCAAAAATTCATCATTCTCTCAAAGCTGGATTTTTTTTTCATGATTTAGACTTATTTGAATCATGTTGATCATTTTAGGCTCTTCTTGCATCCATATAACCTTGACCGAGTCTTGACCGGCTTGCTCCTTCCAAATGCCTTCCAATAAGCAAATTAAGGTTTCTTTCATCCTTTTAGCTTTAGCTTGGTCCTTCATGAATAGTTAAAGGATCTTTGGCAGAATTATGATCAACTTGTTGGTTCATATCATTCTTAAAATAGGCTGAAAATTCATCATTCTCTCAAAGTTGGACTTTCTTTTCATGATTTGGACTTATTTGAATCATGTTGACCATTTTAGGCTCTTCTTGCATCCATAGAACCTTGATCGAGTCTTGACCAACTTGCTCCTTCCAAATGCCTTCCAATAAATAAGTTAAGGTTTCTTTCATCATTTTAGCTTTAGCTCTTGTTATGGTCCTCCATGAGTAGTTAAAGGGCCTTTGGCATAATTATGATCAACTTGCTAGTTCATATCATCAGGGCTTGGACCGGTGTGATACCAGTTCATACCACCAGTGTACTAGGCATCGGTATGCTAGTACGTACTAAGTTTCAAAAGGTACTAAAAAAAGTTGATAAACAAAAAACAAAACAAGTGCTTGGTACAGAGCTTGTACCACCATGTACCAGATGGGTGTACAGCCCAAATTGTTCCATGTGCCGCTAACTTGTCAAACCGGTGAATACCACCTGTACTGTACTGAATGGGTAATTTGGTCAAAAAGTTGGCTTATTGAGCTGGTAATGTCGAACTAAATTGTAATGCAGCTAGCACTACAATTTGGTACACTCTTGAAGCACTTCCTGATCTCCTATCAGAGACAGCAAGTCGATAGTACTGTTGTGCTTCCTGTAAGTATTCATGGTACTATTATCAGATTTACAGAAGACAACCGGTTATAAAATTTTAGACAATTCATTCCCTTCACCTTCAAAATACTGAGGTAAGAAAAGATGGCCTTCAACCTTTGCTTAGTTTAATGCTTGCATACTTCTTTAGCCAAAGTCATTTTTTATATTATGTCCTTGGTGCAGTTGTGTTCCATACAGAATGATTTACTTCTGTACTGCAGTCGTAGTCCATGCAGAATGATTTACTTTGTACATTAATTTGGTTGCTAGCTATTTTTCATCCTTATTTGTTTGTAGCAAGTTTTCAGTTTTCACTTGATGTATCCTGATGACCCTGTTTGGTAAGGTTCAGACATCAAAGAACGAGTCCATGTTGACACTCATTGAGTTAATATGAGAAAGGAGGGAAGGAGGGAGGGTAAACTTCAATCCTCAAAAGCTTTCCCTTCAACATTGTCTAGTCAAGTAAATATCTCAAGGTTCGTAATACTTGAGTCAGTTCTTAAAACAATAAGGAGGCTGAATATGGATTGTCAAGTGAGCTAAAAGGGTGGCACACATGGAGTGGTTATCCATAGATCAAGTTGGATTCCACTGGCACGCTATTCACCTTGCTATATGTCATGTTATTTTTTTTTTACTCGATGCTTAAAACATACATGGTTGGTTAAGAACTGTTTTGTATGTTCTCACTCGGAGGTGATGTGCAGAGCATCGATCTATCGATCTATTTATTTATGTGTTTCGTATGGAGCTTTCCTTATTACACAGTCCTGATGGAAGGATCAGAGCTTAGTCTCTTTTGCTTATATTATAAATGTTGCCTAAGTAAATGCATGTAGATTTTCATTGAGGAAATAATGAACTGCTGAGCAGGCAAAAGTTGAACAAAATAAAAATTTATAAGTTATTCACATATTGATTTTGCTTAGACAAGAATATCAAGTATTAGTTGTATACCCAAATAATGCATCTTTTGATTGCGTATCTTCTTTCATTTGAAGGTGGTGCCCGTTCTATATCAGTGTTCGACAATGATATCGGGACTGGTTCTATTTCACCCATAATAGTTACAGGAGGGAAAAGTGGTGATGTTGGGCTTCATGACTTACGATACATTGCAACTGGAAAGTCTAGACGGAATAGGCATGCCAGTGAGCAAGATCTCAAGACAATGCATGATACAAACTTGGGAACTTTCAAGCATGGTGAGAATTCAAATGGGATGATCTGGTATATACCAAAGGCTCATCTAGGTACATCATGCACCTTCTCCATATACTCTCTATAAGAATAAATTGGTTCTTTATTCTGATTTCCTATTTGGTGTTGGTAAAGGAAGTGTAACCAGGATAACGACTATCCCAAACACCAGCTTGTTCTTAACTGGTAGCAAAGATGGAGACGTGAAACTATGGGATGCCAAAAGATCCCAATTGGTTTATCATTGGCAAAAGCTACATGATCGCCACACTTTTCTTCAACCAAACTCACGGGGCTTTGGTGGAGTTGTCAGAGTAATCTCTTAGACAGAACCTAGAACATAATTTCCTACTTTCTTATCATTAACATTACTAGATACTATCTCTCACTCTTTTATGTAGGCTGCTGTGACTGATATCCAAGTCCTTTCCACTGGTTTTCTTACATGTGGTGGAGATGGTTCTGTAAAGCTTGTCCAACTCAAATAATTTTGACAGAACAATTAACAGAAACCAAAAGAAAATCTGCTTCAGGAAGGGTTAGGCCTGAAGAACTCTGTGGTGCTTAGTTGAATTTCATTCTGTACTTCTTGTATGTCAGGCGTGCAACCTGGCTTGACCAACGAAGTCTAACAGCATCAAATCATCAGTTTTGGCACCTAAAGTTTGTATATCCTTTGTCATACATCCTGACTCTTATAATCTTATGCATTTTTTGGTTGTATTGGCTCCCTTGTGTTATGTTCTGGTTTATTTAGATTCATTGTTCAGGTGCCAATGGGATGTAAAAAATATTTTCTCGAGTTGTCTGTAATTAGGTTTACACCTATTTGTGTCGCCTTGAGAGTTGTCTGAATTATCTGAATGCCAAGCTGCTGGTCAAATGATAAAGGATACACCATACGGGACATTCCTTCCCTTCAGTCACATCTCAGATGACTAAACTTTCTCATGTGCCAGGAATACCAAGAATCTGGAGAACTTTTCGTGTCAGGTACACCAATCAGAACAACAATATGCTATCTTTCCCACCACCACCAGCAGCAGCAGCATGTCATCTAGATCTGAAACATTCACCTGAGGAAAGCATCGAAATTGATCGCCTGGTGTTCTTCACTGTTTTAGTTAAGCTATATAGCTTGTGCAGTCATAAATTTTGGTGAGCTCTGTATATAGTTTGCATAAATTATCAGTGGTGATGTCAAGGAGAATTATAGCCAAATATTTCATACTGCAATACATTAGTATTTCTGTAATAAATTGTCTCTATCATGATTTGGATTGTTGGCATTCTGTGTGCAGCATTTTAACATCCTAATTACACTCCTCAAATGTTTATGTTATGACCTTTTGCCTTTCTTACACTTAAAAAAATGGATAAAGAAAACTATAGCTTAAGATTGAAATCACATTATAAAGAAAACTTCCAACTGATATTTATGTAAAAATTAATAAATAAATCCCTCTTTATTCTTATCCAAACAGCTGTTTCGATTATGCTTAAAAGCATGACTGCGGCCGGCCCTGCCGTCGTTACATGTCGATAGGATTAGCCCAATCATGCACCGGTCGCATGGTCGAGCTGGCGCGGGTTCTGGACCGGCTCTCCTTCGATTTAAGAAGCCCGCCTCCCTCGTTCCCCTCTTTCGATGTAGAGCTCTGGGTTTCCCTCTCCTTGGCATTTCGGAGTCCGGAGAATCCTGAGATCCCAACCCTCGTTCATCGAACTGCTCCGGTTCAATAACAGGTACGAGGAACTTCTAATTCCCAGAATCGCATGCACTGGATTTCTTGAATTGGTGGAAGGATGCTAGTTATTGGTTGTTAAAATATGTGTTTGCTCTGTCTCGCTTGAGAACCCTCTTTCCAGTTCTTGTGAAGCGAAGCATCCGAATCTTTGGAAGTTGGACGACTCATCACGGTTAATCTATTGTCGTCGCATTTGTTTCGGAGAATCTTCAGTTTTAGGGTATGTAAGATGTGACAGGAATTACACTAGATGGATGGTGGAAAACAGGGAGAGATTTATGTGAGGACTTTTTTATTTTGAAATTGTTTTAATCAGGTTAAGATTATGAAATTTGATGCCACATCCTTTTGTAGTTTAGGTATATAGTTGTGAAGAACATTTGATGTGGGTGCTGTGACGTTTGGGTGACACGCTAAATATCCATTTTCCAGACTTAAGTGAGATGTTTATGTAGCTCTTCCGGATGTGCTGAGATTACAATAGAACTAACTATATGGTATCCAGTCCTTATTTTCTCGAAGCTGTTCCTGTTTAATCACTTGATAAATACAAGCAGATAGAAGTTTTTTTTTCTTCTCAATATTGTAGATTTTTTTGACAAAATAGATTAATTTTATCAAGCTTTCAAGTTTGTGCAACTTTGGATGCTTTTAGATCGATCTTGCTTGTGTCAAATTCATTTGGTTACACCATCATACTAAGAATGAGAAGATCACAGGTTTGAGACCTTATAAGTTCATTTTGCTTTATTTTTACTTTTGATAAGATAGATTTGTTCGGATGCAACTCTTGTGGTTTGGGTTTGTTTGCTAAATGTAACTGATAGGATGTAACTTGGCTTGTGGCTTGAGGTTTGTCAATGGCCGACCTCCTAACCTTTCGTATTGTGTATTTTCTACCGTGTCAACTTGGCTTATTCAAAGCTCAACTTTGCTTGTTTGGGTTGATGATGATGGTTTGTTTACTTTCTTGAACAAGATAATGACTTGGGTTGGATCAAAGTCAGTTTAGTTTCCTGAGATAACAATTTTGTGAGTAACATGAAATATGATAAGAGCTATTCCCAACAGCCGACATTGGATGTGAGTTATGGATTACTTGGTATAATAAGTAACCACGCCTGTGCAACGTGTAACTAGAAAGAATTGTTCTTCTGGGGAAAATTTACATGGTAACAAGCTCAAAATTATGTCAAATATGGTAACTGGAATTCTACATGTGAATCAATACAACTATTTAAAATCTAAGAAAACATTCTTAGGAATGTCTATTAGTTCTATAGTTTAGGAGCTAGCTCTAATTAAGACACCAATATGAAATCATAACTAATTAACTTGTACCAAAATATATACTGCTAGTTCAACCTAAGATGTCAAGTACGAAGCTAAACCTTATTAGTGGTGGTTCACTCACTAGAAACTGAAATCTTGCATATAATGAAATAGTTTGTCTTGAACATAGATAATGTTAGTTTGTTAAGTTGTACTTTCCAGACTAATCTCAATGTCCCATGTCTGCATCTATATTAAGATTGTTATATTTCTACATGTGTAATAGTTCAACCTGAATATGTGCAGTCCTTGGAATTTAATTCTGTAATTACATTTAGTTATTGGTTTACTGTGGATAGGTTTAAGTGTTCTATACAGGAGTACGGATGTTGGAAGTTACTGTTTCTTGAAGTACTACTGGCTTATAATTACCATTAGAAATATTGAGCTTTTAGCTTCTTCATTCTTCTTCAAGCTGCTGAGTATTAATTTTCAATACAAATAAGCTGCTCGAGCCCTTTGAATACTGACTGTGAAATCTCAACCCTTTCCTACTTCCTACTTATCATGAATACCTAAATAGAGCACCACGTGCTCTCAAGTTCAGTATTTGAAACGGTTACATTGACCTCATTGGTAGAGCCTTGTCCACTTTGCTGCCCAGTAAGAATTTGCTGCCCTTTTGATAAGGTGAAAGAAAATTTAATTTCACAGAGCTTGGCAAGCTAAAAACTTAGTATCTTAGTAGTTTCTTGTTTTTATTTTTAGGTTAAAGTCCATTTTAACCTCTTTGATTTTGGCTATGGATCTCTTAAGTTTTTATGATTTACTCGTGTATAAAATAACCCATATATTTTAAAAACGTAGTATATAAGCTCATCCCGTCAAGTCTGAGTTAACAAACGTTAGAGTCTGCTTACGTGATAAGCTGATTCACAATAAATCATTAATATATTGACATGTGTAATTTATTTAAAGGGTTAAGGTCCATTTTAGTTCTTGTCATTTTGATCATGGACCTCTTGAGCCCTTATGGTATACTCGTGTTTAAAATAACCCCTATATTTTTAAAAACATAACATATAAGTCCCTCCCGTCAAGTCTAAGTTTACTTATGTCAAAGTCTGTTTGCATGGCATATTGACTCACAATAAATCATTAATTTAATAACACATGTAATTTAAATTTAAAAAAAAATTAAGACCACCATCAATGGCGGGAGAAGGCGTCGTCACGGAAGTGACCACCAGCAACAGCGTCGAGCCATTGCTGTCTAGCAAGGCATCGTATGCACGTAGTCTTTCCTTCGTTGACAACGAGATCAGTAGCTTCTGGTCTTGCCTCAAGTGGATGTGCGTCGACCAATCCGACGCTAGGCACGCAATGGTCTCTTGGTTCCTCTTCCTCCTCCTAGGCGTCTTCGTCTCCATCGCCTCGCACTTTGTCCTCTCCTACGCCCCCACCTATCGCGCCTACAACATGGTGGTCTAGTCCAGCTCTCCCTCACCTCCACCTTTGGCCTCTCCCACCTTTGCCTCTTCGCTGGGGAGGTGGTTACAAGGTATGGTGGTTCGTTAGGATCGGAGCGAGTGTCGTTCGTAATGGCAGGCAGTGCCGTGGTGGCATGTGCCCTGGAGCTAGTGAGTGACATTCGATAGATTCAACTCGCCAACTCTAAGGCGTATGCCACCACGGTGTTGCCCGCCATTGCGAATGACACCTGCTCCGATCCCGACGAGTACCACCATACCTTGTAATCCACCTCCCCCATGAAGCATAACATCACAGACGGAGAGCAGGCGGAAGGAGCGATTGAGTTGGTCCATATAGGCCCGCCGCACCCGCTCGCTCTCCCTAACCAGCTTATCGAGGAAGCAACAGAGGTTGTAGCGACGGACAAAGGCAGAGGTCGGAGGCAGAGGTGAGGAAGAGTTGGACCACCACGTTGTAGGTACGGCGGGTGGGGGCATAAGAGAGGACGAAGTGAGAGGCGACGAGGACAAAGATGCCTAGGAGGAGGAAGAGGGATTAGGAGACCACTACGTACCTAGCGTCGGATAGGTCGACACACATCCACTTGAGGTAGGACCGAAAGCTCTTGAGATTGTTGTCAGCGCGGGAGACGTTGCATGTGTACAACGCCCTACTAGGTAGCAGCTGCTCAGTGCTACTACTGGTGGTCGTTTTCACGACAACGCCTCCTCCCGCCATTAATGGTGGTCTCAGTTTTTTTTTAAACTTAAATTACCTATGTTATTATATTAATAGTTTATTGTGAGTCAGCATGTCACGCAAGTAGATTCTAACACCTGTTAACTCAAACTTGATAAGAAGAGGGGTTTTTATGCTACATTTTTTAAATGTATGGGTTATTTTAGACACGAGTAAACCATAAAGGCTTAAGGAGTTCATGACCAAAATCACAGGGGCTAAAATGGATTTTAACCTTTTAAGCTTAAATTACACGTGTTAATATATTAATAATTTATTATGAGTCAATATGTCACGTAAGCAGATTTTAATATCTGTTAACTTAGACTTAATAGAATGAGCTTATATGTTATGTTTTTGAAAATAGGGGTTATTTTAGTCACGAGTAAACTATAAGGGGTTAAGAAGTCCATGGTCAAAAACCAAACGAGCTAAAATGGATCTTAACCCTTTATTTTTCTTTCTAGTCTTTCAATTTTTGATGGGAACTTGTTTTGGAATGTGCTCACTTTTGTTTCAGACTGCGAGCAATGATAAGAATACAGAAGTAGAGGGCCCAATGCTTTGAAATAGCAGCGGCAACATACTCGACATCAAGAAACACGAGCTTCAGAATATATCAGATAAGTACCACAAATTAGATGATATTCCAACATTTGATTTGGGTTTGCAGAAGCATGTTTAGGAGAGCTTCTTACTGTAATGTACTCAGAACCAGACTAAAATCTTGACAGTTCTGATATCGTCAATGCTGAAGAGTTTTATCTGATAGAAACCCACCAAACATCTTGAATCCAGTATTTTGCAAAGATTTTGATAGGTCTTATAATTGATAGATATGAAAATGAAATCTCGTATTGACCGTTGGGTTGGTATTATAATGTATATCTTTTGCATGCATTCATGGCTGAAAGGAATCCTCTGATTGATCAGTACCGACGTATCCTGTTGTATTACTCTCCAACGGTGAGTGAACTGCAGTTAGGCTGTTGCTTTTGCTCTACTACAAAAATATTCTTATAACAGAAGGAGACAAGCAGATGAAAAGAGTTGCATCATAAGAGCTGCATGCTCTCCCAGCTTTCCTTAGTTCCATTTTTTTCGTTATGGACCAATGATGGTTGTCGATTTTGTCATTTTTCTCGTTTAATACATTTAGGCAGTTTGATTCAGTGCCAAATGCCTGGTGTCAAGGTCTCTATCTTGTTTAATCTATGCTGACTCAGTCACTGACACATTGCTTTTGGCAGTAATCACCATGAATGGACCAGCAATTGAAGGCGCTACTTGGTAGTTGGACCATCTTCTCGTCACTGCTTCAGGTAAGAGGCTCATCTATCTGTTAATATAACTTGAAAGAGTGCCATTTATTCGTTTTCTAAATCATTTTATCAACAATATGTTTGGAATTACAATATCTTTGCGTATGACCTTAATTACATGCGACTAATGGTAGTTAGTAGTTCTCCATGTTTGATTACGTGAACCAAAAATGAATGGTTAGTGTTTTAGATGCCAAATATGATCTGCTTCACTGCTACTTCTCTAATTCAGTGTACTGATTGGTGGTTTACCGGGTTGTGGTTTGATGGTTTTCTTGTTAGAATTAATCAGTACCACATCCTACATTTGGAGATCAGTGATCGCTTTGCTCCTGCGTTGTGCAAATTGCACGAATCTCAATACCATGATTCCCAGAATTGCATACATTCCTAAACCTTCTTACCAAAATAAAAAGAGTCCTGGCAACTGGCGAGAGCTGAAAGGTGCTGCTAGTCATGGTAGAAAGAGTAAGAACACAGTTTTAGGCACCTGGTTTGTGGGCTTGTTTAGGTAGAACCGAAAAAGATGAGACCCCGTTCCACGTTTTTGTTGTGAAGAGGATGTGTTTGGTGAGACAGCTCAGCCCTCTTTTGCTTCCTGCCTTCTGCACCTTTATACTCGGTCACGAGAAGAGTTTGCCCGTAGCTTTCTTCAGCGTTAACCTGTGTGCCATACATCGGATTGGTGGGGTCCACCGAGCTCATGGTTTACTGGGAGTGATGGACTCGGGTCACCGTCCTATTATATAATATAGTGAACTTGACATATAACCCGACTTGTATACGTCGGGACGGATGATCACATTGTTAGTGTTACAGATATACGTATTCCACTGGGATGGAGTACAGTTAACCTCCTATCATATAATATAATGAATTTGACATATAGCCTGACTTGTATACGTCGTGACGGATGATCACATTGTTAGTGTTCCAGATATACGTATTCCATTGGGATGGAGTCTAGTTAGCCTCCGTGTGGGTTGGAGAGCACACACGGACTCGGCAAAACCGTCCGCGTCGCCACGGATGTGACCCAGCTGCCCTTCCTCCGGACGCGCTGACGTTCACCCGCCGAAAGCGAGGGAGGTCTTTGTCGACCCAATCTCCGCCGACCATCTCCGTCCACGTTCTTGGGGTGACCGTCTCTTGTCCGTGCCTTCCCTCTCGTCACCCATCGTGTTACCTCCTTTGCGACGACGCCAACAGGTGGGTCCCAGGATCCTTGGCCTGCTGCCTCCACGCACATCACGCGGGTACCATCGCAGTCAGCGGGTAGGAAAAATTTTCTTGCTTCCTTCCTAATCCTAATGTATAAATGCACGCATCGTGGTGGTGGGATCGATCCATTCGTGGGACCCGCCGGCAACGAACCCCGATGAGCACAGGCGATAAGATATTACTGTGTAAAATCGGGGGGGCCGGCAAGTCGGTGGCTGTTTTTGGAAGTTTCGCTTACGATATTACTTGGGGAAGGAAAATTATATGATTGAAATTACGAAGTGGATTAAAATGGCAAAAGCCAGCAAGATAAACGAAGAGGGACAGGGAGGGAGAGGGAGCGCAGACCATCGTGATCCGATTGCGTTTCTGGTTTCTTCTTTTCTTCAAACCAGATTTGCAGGTCGATCATCGTGCTGCTACTGAGTGGGTCTGATTCTGGAATTTGATCTCCCTCAAGTTTCTTGTCCGTACAAATTCTGTAGTATGTTTCTTCGTCCCCGATCCTTGATTATTAGATTACGGAGTCCGGTCTTCTCATAAAATTGTCTTCTGATCTCTTGATTTCCTGCTTGCTTGCTGATTTTGTTGGGATTTTAGAGGTGTCGGTTGTCATGATGGGTTCTAGTTTGTGTTGATGGATTGTGGTTCTTTTGGGCTTTCGTGTTGTTCGGATCTGGTGATGATCGATGATTTATGAAATCTCTTGCTGCCAGTTGTTTTATTTTCCTCTTCTTTGTTCTTTTCTGAAGCTTTGTCAGCTGTGCTTTTCGAATGGTAGCTAAATTAGGATTTCAATTTTCTAGATCTGCCAAATGAGAATTATTTGGTTGGCCTCAAATTGTTCTCTTTGTTGCCTTTGCTTGCCTTCTGCTGATCTAAAGGTCTACTGAACCGTGTGCGGCTACTATTCTGTTTCTTTGATTGTTGTGGTTTTTAGCCTGCTTGATTACCAGGTTAATGATGGAAGTTACTAGAGCTTTCGTTGCGTTTAGTTGATGAATCTCGCCATATTCACGATGAAGGGATAGCGTATATTTGCTTGGGAAGGGAAGATTTTGGGAGCGTTTCCCTTTCTTTGAAAAGTAAGGTTGTAGACTTCACAAGATTGTGGACCTTGGTTTCTTGAGTGAAACTCCTGCTTTCAATTTTCATGAATTTATGAAGACTTGCCATCACTACAGGCCAAAAAATACATCTAAACAATCCCCGACAACTTGCATATATTGGAAGTCAGAATTGTGCTTTGTATTAGTAAGTATAGTTGTTACTGATCGGAACAAATGTTGTCTAAAATCACAAAAATTTGGATAGAGAATATTTGAAAGTCAGTGACCGCTGATCACTGTCACCGGAAGTCTATCGGTAATCTGAGCTTGCAATCCAGCTCCAAAGTACCCTGCTGATATCATATAAGATTGTCATTTTTTATTTCTATTTTCCTTCAACTCACCTTTTATGTCCTTTACAAAATCCATTTTTGCATATTTAACTTAATTCTTCTTTTAAGAATCTGGTATCAGCTTTTGATGTTCACGTCAGGTTAGCAACCATATCTCAAGTCCGTAAAACACTTCTATGGTGTCTTCTCAACATTGAGTTGTGATCTATAACACTATGTTTAATTTGAAAAGGTTGGGTTGTGATATTGATGACTCAGGCCCTAAAACAAGGATCATTCTCCAATTGGCCAAAGTTCAAAATATAATGACATGATATTTTTTTATTATTGTCTGATATGGAAGCCATCAACTCGTTGCTTACACAATGTATGTCAATCTAAATATGGAAGCCAGAGAAACAAAACAATAATAGAAGACAGTAATAGTTAGCTTCCAATGTATGTCAATCTAAATATGGAAGCCATCAACTCCTTGCTATCTTCTATTATTGTTTTATTTCCCTGTTGATGTTGCTGCCATGACTTTTGATAATTTGCTCCGTGGAGAGTTACCTAGAAGAAAGTTACAAATCAGTATTTAGTCTATGACCAGTGTATGGTGGCCCCACCTCGTTAACTTGTCTTGAATAGCATTAAAAATAAAATCGAGTGCTTTTAATAGTTCTCGGGTTCATTTTAGCCTACCACAAGCAGCTTCCTTGTGCTCTATCTTAGCCCTTGTCAGACTCTGTAATGGCTTATTATTCATCATGATTCCTGCCTGACTAATTAGTTGGAGTAAGTTGGCGCTGAAGCTGATAGGATTCGTAATGAAACTATGAAGTTGGCATCTTGATTCCCTGTGTGTTTGTCATTGTACTTGATAGGTCTTGGAAAGAAATTAAATATTCCAATTGCAGTTTTCTTAAATCAACTGGTTGTTAGATTTTTTTTTTTTTATCAATTTCTTCCTTTTAAAAAAATATAATATATGATAGTTTGCTATGAAAAATAAAAATGTTCTTATCAGTTCCTTGTTGTTACCACTGACTATATTTGTTTTTGTTGCAAATGTAAAATTGGGTTAGGTAGCCATTGCCGGGGTATAGATAGGAAAGTCCTCCATTGGGAAGGATTTCCATTGGTGGATATAGGCAGGTCCTATGGCACAGCACTGGAGATCCTCACTGGCATTGATCTCAGAGCAGTATCGTGGTTACAGAAAATGTTGTGGAACACCATATACCACTGCTTAGATTGAAGGTACTTCTATTTGGAAGTGCCTTTCAGCTTAGGTTGTCTTGACCATAAAAAGCTTTTAAACTCGGAAGCTTATTTATATGTATAACTGTTTCTGGAAAATGCTTTGAAAATCAGATCTGCTTGACATCTAGAATTTAAGTTATTTTGATAGACTTGCTTCTGAGAGTTTGTTTGATTTTCTCTTAAATGAGGATATGAAGCTGATATGTTTGCCTCTGGCAGATGAAGATTATGAAAGTAGTTTGAGGAAATGGGCTACTAATGGCAGCTGCAGAAGCAAGGGCTGCTTGGCAGCGCACTGCGAACCGTTGTCTAGTCCAGGAAGATGCAAAACGAGCTCCAAAATTAGCTTGTTGTCCATCGTCTACCCCACAAAATGATTTAGGCAATGGGAACACAGCAATTGCACAAGATAATTCTGTTCCCAACTTGATGCCTTTGAACAGGAATTCCATGAATGCTAATCTTTCACCTGAAACAAAATGGTGGCTTCAGCTGCAACCCAATTTTGGATACCAAAAGGACTTTATCTTTGAGCAACTAAGTTCCTTAGAAGATGAAGTTGATGAGAAGGACACGGAAACTATGGTCCCAACATCAAAGTTGGATCTGGAATCTTTGCCAATTGACTTTAACAATTTTGCTCTTAAAAAGGAAGAGAGTATTCTGGAACCACCTTCGATGGTATCATCAACTGTCGTGATGCATGATTCTGAAACTATGGTCAAAGATATTAGGACAGCAACCAGTAATCCACAACAGTTACCAAAGCGGAAGGCACCTGTGAGTGATTATTTTCATAAGAAGAACGAACTTCTGGATATGGAGTCAGTTGATCAATTAAGTTTGACAAGGCCAGAAAAGGCTTCTTCGGACCTTGAAACACCTTGGACTGGGAGTAATAACTCTGAGCCATGGTGGCGTATTGCAGACAAAGATGAGTTGGCTTTATTAATTGCCCAAAAATCAATGCAACAGCATATTGAAAACTGTGATCTGCCTAAACCCAGAGAGACAATTCATGTTACTAAGAACCTTTCTTCTTCTGAGAATATGGATAAATGTGGGAATTTTCAATCATCATCGGGAAGAAAGTTAAGTGCAGACATAAGCAATGCCAACGAACACTCACATAATACATTTTCTTTTGCAAACTCTGAGAACAAGAATTTGTCTTCTGGTGAAAGAGGCTATATGCTCCATGATTCAGAGAAATTGTACAGGCAAGGTCCTATCACCATATGTTTTATTTTTCAGCAAATTCTATAGTTTTTCTGTGAGCCTGCATGGTGTGTTATATTTGTCTGTTAACATTAAATTTAGTCCGATTATTGTATGGTTGCATTAACAGTTGGCCTTCGATGCTTGTCTATTTGAACTCTAATTCGATGAACTCATCTGTTCAAAATAAAATTCTACACTGTATATTGTTTGTTAATAATGTTGTCTTGCTTGAGAGTAGACTGGATAAATCGTTATGGGGACAACCTTTATAGAATAAGTTTTGCAGATTAAATAGGTTCATGACCAGTTATACGAAGTGTAACATTAGGCACATCTTTGGAGTAGAAGGTGCAATCTGACCTTAATTGACTTTAAAAGAAAAAAAACTGTTATGCATCATAAAACAGGATGGGGAGGTTGATGAGGATATTATTTATAGAACTAAAATGGGATGGTTAAGATTGAGAGGGGCATAAGATGCATATGCAATGATAAAAAATCCTTGTTGAACTCAATAATATCAAATTTTTAAACCAAACCTGAGCCACCTAATACAGGTGTAAGTTGTACTTACTGTCCCATACCCATACAGAAACAAGTCAGTTTAAATTGGGTCATCATTGAGATGATTGCTTTTGACATGATTTAACCCACTGAAATGACTTAAATTCGGTAAACCGAGTCCAGAAACCCTCTAATCACACAATTTGGATAATATGCCTGGCATAGTAAGCCCAAAGGCTATTTTCATGCAGGATCGATTGTCAATTGTATTTTACTGGTCCTTTGCTTGGAAATCTGCTTTTCCAGTTTATTTTCTTTCTTGCTTCTAAGGCTGGTTTAAATCATTAGACCATACTATGGATGGAACAGTCTGTGTCCAATGCAAATTTGGACATGACATATTTTTGAAGTCCTATATACTGATATCTCATTCTGTTGATCGTTTTTCATGTCAAGATTTAAGTGAATGATTAGTGATTCAAAATTATTTATTGAAGTTGAGTAATCTAGTGGTGCTTGATTAAGGGATCCACTTGTACCTATTAGTAGTTTGTTAATCATAACCAATCATAAATATATATCCACGCATATAATTATGATCCTTGAAAACCATATGGAGATCAAACAAATTGACCTATGTTAAAATCACATGTTTAATTTACTTAGTGATTCTCTGTGATGCTTTGACCCTGTTACATATCCTTGTTGGCTTGTTCTTTGATCTTTTATGCCCATCCAGACATGTCATCTTCAATTATTTGTGCTTCAAAACTTTGACAAAGTCTCTTCCACTTGGCATGTTCTCTTCCTATTATTTATCTTTGCTATGAACATGTCTTGAAAGAGGGAATCCTCCATTTAACTACAGTGTCTGAATATGTTTTTGATCTAACAATCATATGCAGCCACACACGAGGTTATGTAAATGATGAACAACATGAAGATAACCATACATCTGAGCATGACCTTTCAAGGGCTGAGCTGCTGGAGGCACTTCACCATTCCCAAACCCGAGCTAGGATAGCTGAAATAGCAGCCCAGAAAGCTTATGATGAGAAGGAACACATAGTCAAGCTGTTGTTCAGACAGGCATCACATCTATTTGCATACAAGCAGTGGCTACGAGTGCTGCAACTCGATAACATTTTTCTCCAACTCAAGATCAAGGACCATCAGATAGCGACGATCATCCCTGTGCTGCCCTGGATGCCATTGAAGGGGAAACTCTCAGGCAAAGGTAACATAACAAGAAACGGGAGTAAAAAGCACAAACGTCACATATGCAAATATGCCGTTGCCTTTGCTGTTGGGTTGGGTCTGGCTGGTGCAGGGTTGCTCTTAGGTTGGACAATTGGCTGCTTGTTTCCCTCTATATAGATCTCTATAGTTCAGAAATATGCCAATTTCTTTGAACCAAATGACTCCCAGGCTCCTTTTATCTCAGGCAAGCCAGTGAATATTAGGCCCATATTTTGTGGGCTGATGTGAAAATCTTGGGTATATGGGGTGGCTCAGATCATCTTCACTGGAGGATTCATCTTTCGTTGTATATATGGTTTCTCATGTACATACGTTGAATCTGAAGTTGTACATGCGTTTATTATGCACAGGTAGGGTGGCGAAGCTTTATTAATTGTATGAAATAAGAAAGTGTCTGATGACATCATCGATTAGATCTTTATTGTTATTCATTACTGCACAATCATTGTAATGATGCCTTGGTGATCTCAAATCAGTTTGCTCGTGTCATTTGCATGCATCACATCTTCTGCAGGGCATCGCTAAATTTCTTCAGCTGAGTATTGTTGTCATACAGTGCAGGAATGGCTTTGACCATCGAAAGGTAGATGGCTCAACCTTTGGATATAATTAGGAGTTGGTTTTGAGAGTCCGAGTGGATTTGTAAACCTGATTACTTTAGGTTTGGATATGATGGCTTTCTTTCAAGACTGAGAAATTAGAGAGATGTTAAACGATCGTAAAAGTGGATATGCAATTATGAATGAAATGTTTAGATTGTTTTTATATTCCCTTTGTTTTATGTAAATTACTGACGTTTACTTATTTCTTGTACTAACATTGTTGGTTCTTCATCAAGACGTGTTCTTCTTATCTTACACAGATTACAAGTTGAAATTGCGTGCGCTCAACGATCCATGAGAAATGTGGAGCTCAGCTTTGCATTTTTCAATGATCACGAATTCTCTTCTCCTCCGTCGGAGAATACCGCAAGTAAAGAACAGATGCATCATGCACTTTAGTACAGGTATCCTACTGATCTCTTATATCAAGCAACTTGTGGTAAAAGTTATTTGCCATTTGTTTCGTGCCGACAGGACCATCTAATTATTGACATGAATGAATGAATCGAGAAACCACTGAATTGTCCCCTTGACATGATGTCCAACCATCACCATTCATATCCAGATTCATCCTCTTGGTAAATCATAGAACTTGATGCAGATTTGAGTCCATAAAGTTCACAGAATGCATCTCCTCAAAGAGAGAAACACTCCATCATCAAAGACAAAGGGCATCAACTACAACTTTAGTATAAAGCTAAAAGGACGATTGTGGCCATCAAAGATGGATTTATTTGTAATATTTGACCTTCCATCCAGTACTTAAAATAATATTATTATTATCAGTAATAATAATAAGGATAAGGAATGACTCATAAGTGTCCTATAGGCCTTATTTTCTGGTCGCCATCACAGCCAACCAAACCCAGAGTTCTGCACGTTGAACTCGTGCCCCGACGGATAGTGACAAATCTGGAACGTGATACATATTTTTTTCGTCGGAGAATATTTTATAGGAAATTTATTTCATATTTTGAGTGATAGTTTTGTACTATTGAACTTTATAGGAAATTAGAAAAAAAAAAAAGAAAAAGGAGAGAGAACACCACATGGAAAGAATGATTTTAATGAAGAATTTATCCTATTTTTATGTGATATTTTGGAATTGCTGAACTTTATAGGAAAAGATAGGAACTCCACGAGGAAATAAGAACTTATACGGAATTCCACCCACCCCCACCCCCCTCTTCCATTTTTTTGGGTATAAATCTTCATATGCATTTCATCGTCAACGACATACTTTCTGGACCGACAGAAAGACGTTGATTGTCGTGGTTCTAATCGTGATGAATCGGATTCATCATTATTATTATTATTATTATTCGTCGTTCTTTTTTGACCCCTCTTCTTATCCTTCCCGCCACAACCGTCCATCTGACGCAGACGAGCCACCACGTACCAATCCATCCACGCGTCCCGTTGCCTCCCACCTCGCCGCCCCTCTTTAAATACTCCCCCAATCTGATCGGACAAACCTTCCTCTCTTCTCTCTCTCTCTCGCGATCCAGTGATCGTCGTTAATATGCCTTACTGCGACCTAAGCAGCAATGGGATCAGGATTTTCTACAGGAGATGCGGACATGGGAGTACCAAAGTCCTCCTCATCATCGGTAAATTTTCTCTTTTGGATGCATTTTTCCTGTTTTTGATGGAGATTTGGGGTTTTCGAGTGCCAAAGGTTTGTTCCTTCTTCTTGCGTGTAGGATTGGCGGGGACGCACGATTCCTGGGGACCGCAGATAAAGGGGCTGACGGGAGCTGTGGAACCCAATGATGAGGAGGCGCCGCCGACGGTGACCGTCGGCGGGGAATCGAATACCCTCGGTGAGGAGGTCCGGGAGGGGGACGGGATCGAGGTGTGCTGCTTCGACAACCGCGGGGTGGGTCGGAGCTCCGTCCCCACCGAGAAATCGGATTACACGTAATTTTTCTCTCTTGTTTTTCCTACTCATGATTTTTTAGAGTCCTGTTAATTTAATGTTGGTGTAAAAGATTTAGTCCTCAAAATTGGGTTTTTCACGATCGGATTTTAGCTTATTAATCGGAATAAACAACATCGAGATAGTTAATGGACTAACGTTCTTTATCTTTTTTGAGGAAGAAGCCAAGAAAATGATACAAGAAAGTGTATTAATCGATCAGTTGATTCAGGACTATACGTGGCACTTTTTTAATGAGATCGAACCATATATATATGTAGAGAGAGAGAGAGAGAGAGAGAGATAGGAACCACGATGAATGCAATCTTTTCTCCTGAGGAACTTTGAATTAGTGTATGAGGTATAATTGCTAGGAAAGAACTTATGTGCTCTGTTCTTTGGGTTGCAGAACAACTATCATGGCTGAAGATGCCCTGGCTCTATTGGACCATCTAGGCTGGAAAAAAGCTCATGTTTTTGGTCACTCAATGGGTGCGTTGACTTCTTCCAAGAACATGATTGATTCTTATTGGCACTAAGATGGAAAGTTTATAAGCAAATCATACTTTGCCTACTGATTCAGTACATTCTCTTTTCCTTGCTGTAGCTTCTCAGAGTTTGAAGAGTGTTTGTGTAGTATACGCTCACATGCTATTCAAATCCGTTTGATTGATGTACAGGAGCGATGATTGCTTGCAAATTGGCAGCCATGGCACCTGATAGGATATGCTCCTTGGCTTTGCTCAGTGTGACTGGAGGCGGCTTTGAATGTTTCCCTAAGGTATATCAGTAAAGCTACTACTTCCGGACAAATCAACTCCATTCAGTACCCCTTGATCTTGTTGAACTTTTTGATATGATTTAGTTCTTGCAAAGATAAATGTCTCTTGCAATGGTGTGTTACCTGGATTTATACAAATTTACCACTTCCTTCTTTACTTTCTGTTTGAAGCTGTTTGTTTCAAGCATCTAACCCAGTTATGTAATCTAACCCAGCTACTTCCAATTTTCTGGAATGTTCTAGCTTGCTACTGAATATGTAGATCGATGATAACTAAACTAAAGTATAACCTTCTGTTTCAAAGCGCTTTATCAGGAACAGTGTCCATCAATTAAGTAATCTTGACCTTGTTAGTTATCTTTCAAGGATTATGAAAATGTCGGTGTTAACTCTGCTCGGAACCACAAAAAAGCAAGTGATACTGCTACTAAATGACTCCAGCGGAAAAAAAAAGAAAAAAAAAAAACAAGGCTCATCGTCAGCAGTTCTTAATGGGATAGTTTAAGTGAGGATTCTTTATGAACTCCTTTAGCAACATATATACGCAAAATTTATCATGCAATGTTTCTTGTTTTACTAAATTGCATATTTGTTGCCTAAGGTTAAAGCAAAATACACACTGCTGTGCACATCACTCATCAAGATGAAATTTCACAGCTATTGCAGATTGATCTCCAGATGCTATCGCTGGCATTTCGATTCTTGAGAGCAAAGACCCCAGAACAACGCGCTATGGTGGACTTGGAAACCCATTACACTAAGGTGGAGCACTTTTTTTTGCATGCACTATCTTTGATTGCCATGCAACCTAGATGAGATATTTCATCTTTGTGAAACCACCCGAAATCAATTAATTATGAACCTCTTTGATGTTATATGCAGGAATACCTTGATGAATGTGTTGGATCTCGGACAAGAAGGGATATTCTCTATCAAGTAAGTGAAGTTGTGCCAAAATAGAACACATAAAAATTATTTAGATTTATTTTGGTCTCCTGCAGTTAACACCTAAAACACCTTGGCCACATTTCCAGCAGAGTTTCTGAATATCAGTTCTTCTCTTTTCTTTCAAGGAAAGCAACACTAGTCCTAAAGTTCTCTAATCTATTCTTTCCTTTAGCTGTGCTAGCATCAACCTGCCCTATAACTCAAGCTAGTGACAAACAATATTTGGTACTTTTCATCTTATCCTGCCTACTGTTGTCTTCCTCATCTTTCCTACTACAGATTCTTTGTCTCCACCCAAGTTCAAAAGATACCAAAGTCACATGATGAGAACTTGCCATGGCTGTCCATCTCCATCTCATCATGTCATCCTGCTCAATTCTCCTGGCAAAACTGATATGAATTTAAACACCTCTAGCCAATTGGCATCTAGAAAATTACTGAAACGATGGTTCCCAATGAACAGATTGGGACGGAATTGTGCAGCAAATTTTCACCACAAAGTTCTGTTAGACATAACATAAAAAATGCTGAAAATTATTATAGAAAGCGTAAGCCATTCATCTGTCGAACATCGAACAAAAAAAGCACTCCTTCACTTGCAAAAACACTTTTCCAACAATATAATAAAGATTTTCATATCATTTAGCCATTTACCATACCTTCATGTTGAATCAGTGGTGATGCGATAGAAAGAAATGTGAAACCATTGACAAAGTTACAGAGAGATGTAAATTCTGATTTTCGTTTTGGGTATTCATCGTCTTGCATTGCTATTATTCATATAAACGGCTAAAAGATTTTAATACTGGGAAAAAAAAATTAACTCGCCAGGCTGGGTTTATTGTCATCTCTATTAAATTGATGATAAACAATGTTCTAATATGGCCTCTAGCACAATTTTCTCCGTAAGAAGCAACCTTGTTCTGAATTTAAGATGAAATCTCTGGCAAAATGATTAATGGAATCATGTGATTTTCTGCTTTTTTATGGTTTGCCAGTCTGCTTTATTTTTAATACAGATAAGAGTTTCATGACTTCAGGATTATGTAAAAGCAATATCATCAAGTGGAATGCAATCTAACTATGGTTTTGAAGGCCAACTTAATGCCTGCTGGATGCATAATATGACTTCAAAAGAACTTGAGACAATTCGTTCATCAGGGGTTCTTGTTTCAATCATCCATGGCAGGTAGCAACTAAAGTTTACTCCCTCCCACTCTCCC